AATAATATATATATACACACAGAGACAAACACACACACTCACACACACGACACTATGACACATACGTACACATGTCAACTTCACCACCAGGATCAGAGGACAGGTAGGCCAAGGCTACACACACATTCCCAAAACATTTCCCCTCCTTCTCTATTCACTTCAGGATCCTTTCCACCCACGACTCTGAAATCCGAAAGTCCGTTGTATGCATCCGGTCTACTAACTGCACGTCTGTTTTGAATCACCGGTATTCCCATGTAGAATGTACACATCAGCAAGTGACAGCTAGGCTGTTACATGTATTAGTGATTTGATTTTCAACATCATGAATTATAAGACGTAAGACGATTGTTCGAGATCTCAGTCTCGGTGTTTGAGCTTGATCATGGTTTCAGCGTTCCTTTCCTAACAACAGGATAGATATCTACGTTTTGTTTCAGTTCTTGTGTTAGGCCGAATATTATATTCATATTCCTGTGTTGGCACGAGAGGCAATATATTCAGGTACGGTATAGATTCTACTACATGCACACATTCCTTTTTCTCAGTGTACGGTCATAACTTATCATTGCTGTTGGCCTAATCTAACTTACTAACTGATAAATAATGTTTTGCTCTATATTTGGTCTCCTGCGCATTTCTCGACCCGAGTGATATCTTTATCTTGTATTTAGCTCCATTTTCCGTTAATATTAATAGCTCTGAAAAAATCTTTCCCTTGAACTTTGAACCCAATTTGAATTGATTATTTAATTATTTCTTTTATTTATACGTTCTACCATTGACTCCCGTTTTCGCAACTGGAATTCAATAGTGTTTTCGAGGTGATTTACATACCAAAACTGGAGAATAATTATGGAGATTGTGTAAGATTTGAGCTCTAGGTCTATAAATGTACTAACATACACACGCGTACAGACACATACACTCCTTTACACACTACACACACACACACACACACACACACACACACACACACACACACACACCAACATACAAACACACATACATTAATATCTATTTTGCGTTAATCGTACAAGAATTTTTGTGATTTTTCTTGTTTGTTTTAATCTGAAACAGAAAAGTCAATACATGAATATAAATAAAGTGAACAGTGAATGAAAGTAAGAAACAGTTTAAAATTCAGTGTGAAATGTATACATGTATATTTTATTATTTTTCTCCAGTCTTTAATGGACCTGTAGTGGAGTGTCATACATTAAACAAAGTCGGTGGACAAGTTTTCCAAGCGTCCTTTGTTGAAGTCAAGCTGGCCTGTGTGAAACGTGGAAGCCACAGGATCTGAGTGAGCCAAACGGTCATGGGGAATTCTTCAGGTACCAAAACGTCTAGAATGCATATATATACACCTGTAATACATCTTTAGTAATTCTGGTGACACAGACCTTTGCGTCACTTTTTTTAGAAGAAACCACACAGTCTTCAGCTCTCAAAATTCAAACGCAGGTAACATTCAGGCATACCAAAACGTCTAGAATAATACGTCTTTAGTCATTCTGCTGGCGCCGACCTTTGCATACCCTCTCAATTTTTTTATTATGTAACCGCCCCCCCCCAAAAAAACCAACAACAAACAAACAAACAACAAAACAAAACATAAGCAAACAAACAAATAAACAAAAAACCCACGCACTCTTTAGCCGCAAAAATATTTTTAAATTTATTTTTTTTTTAACTTTTTTTTTTTTTTTTTTTTTTTTTTTGGTTGGGGGGGGGGGTGTAATAATTGTTTTACTTCTTTTTCCCTTTTAGAAAAATTAATAAGATGTCCGCGTATTCCTAAAAAGAGACATGAAAATTGGGGACAATTAGTCGTGACTGGACTGTCAGTCGAAAGCAATACTTGACCGTCTCCGCCCCAAACTCAAATAAGTTGTCGTGCAAAATTCATGCGGGCAGCAAGTTATAATAATATGCTCAATTAATTGTTCTCTCTTGTACCATCATTAACTGCCACTCATTTTTTTCATTTTGTTCTGCTCAGATGTTCCCCTAACTCATGAATTATCTTGATTCTTTGACGTCACCTATCTGTCCAGGTTCTCCTAGTAAGCTAAATATTCTTCTTGGTTGTTGTTGTTTTTTTTTTGGGGGGGGGTTGTCTCGATCTATTTTTGTAAAGAAACCCACCTCTGCATGACCATTTTATGCGCATGTGTGGATTTCATTTTAAAGGAAATATATTCTCAAAAATTAATTATGATAATTATAATAATATTATGCTTTTACTTGTAATTTTTCTTCCTCAGGAAAAGTTCAGGATTTGTCGGTGCTGAAGGCAGAAATAACTCAGCTGACACAGGGTGAGGACATTGTGAATAGAACAACACTGTCTCATCATCTTCTTCTACTACATTTTGTTTTGATTTTATTTTAACAGTTCAAGTTTATGGCTCTTCCTCATCTTATTTCTGCACCCAGTGGTACTTGTAATTTCATGATTTTCTCAGAAGACATTTTTGATTACCTGTATTCAAACCATGTAGTTGTATGCATACACTGAATAAGCCGGTTCATTAGGTATGATAATATGTTTTTCACAATTCATTTTATTCAGTAGAATGGTAGGTTTCTTTGTTTCTACTCCAAGTTTATGATTTAAGTGCCACATCCCAACTCTGTCTGTCTGTCTGTCTGTCTGTCTGTCTGTCTGTCTGTCTGTCTGTCTGTCTGTCTGTCTGTCTGTCTGTCTGTCTGTCTGTCTGTCTGTCTGTCTCTCTCTCTCTCTCTCTCTCTCTCTCTCTCTCTCTCTCTCTCTCTCTATCTATCTATCTATCTCCTTCTCTTTCTTTCTGTTCTTGCATATACTACGTAAACACACGCAGCCCCCCCCCCCCCTCACACATACTGACAGACACAGACAGAACACCCCCCTACCACCACCTCCACCCCCACACGCACACACAACATCTACCAACCCCTTTATCGTCATTCCCAGGAGAAAGCTGTGAGATGGAATTTTGTGAGGGTGAAGACGCTGAGGCAGAACTCCACAAACATTTTGTCCGCTGCAGGAAAAATCCCGGCCACAAGAAATTCATTCCAGTTTCTCAGTTTGGGACACAGCACCTGCCAGCCTCGGACGATGCAGATGGCGCAGTCGCTATGATCAAGAAACTAGCCGTGGATACGGTCAAGTTGATCGTCAGGTACACGTCAAAGAGTCGCCCTGACAAGTTCGGACTTCCCACTCTGAAGGGAAAACGCACTCCCCGATTTGGTAGTGGTGTTTACCTACCTCCGTCCGACTCGATGGAGAACCAGCCGTGCCCCCTCAAGGATTGTCCCTTCTCCAAAGATGACCATCTGGTCACTGCCACGTTTTCAGTTGTCACAGCAGCTCACGTGGTGTACGATGATGATGAGGCAGTGGTCACCTCCGTTGAATTTTTTTATGACGATGATAAAGATAGGTCAGGGGTGGTGACCGCTGTAGGTGTTCAAATTCGGTTTGTCGACGAAGGAGCTGACTTAAGCAGTTTGAGGTGCATTTCTCACGACTTGGACCTTTTTCACAAACTGGAAAGTCATAAAACACTCACAAAAGATGTGAAATGGAGCATGTCCGATCCCATGGCTGTTCTAATTTCCCATCCCCATGGTTGCTCTAAACAGATATCTGTCGGGGATGTAGTGGAAAGGAAGGAACTGACTCCACCTCAGCGTCCGTCATTTCTAAGACCGTCTTTTAAAGACGGAGAAGAAGCTAAAGCAATGAAGAATGCAAGTGCCGATGCGAAGAAATGCCTGGCTGTTTTGCTGGAAAAAGTTTTCGGACTAGATAAAGCTAATACAGAAGGTAGTGGTGAAGATCAGCTCACGATCGCTCTGCATGGGTCGTTCCTGGGAGAACTTAGAGCCGAGGGGTGCATCGTTTCTGTGTCGGAGTCCGAGAGAGATTTCTGGCAGAAAGTCTTAGTTCAAACTGGCGGTACGGACAGCTCGTCCTCTGACGCAGATTTAGGATATGATAGGAGTTGGCTGACCGGGGTAATGAATGAAGTTTTTTCTCCACCCGTGTCTAATTTTCTCGCTGCTCCACAAAAAGCGTTTAGTATAGAGGCCTTGGAGAAAGACCCTGTTGCAGTCTTAGAGCTTTTGCTGGGGCCCTCTCAGGAACAGGAAACCTATGCTCCCTCCTCCTACGGCAATGTGAAAAACCTGACAAAGTTCCGACATATGTCCTACTCCATCCCGTCGTGTCCTGGCTCGTCTGGAGGACCTGTGTTTTGTTGGAGGAGAGACGGAGACGAACTCAGAGTCTCCTCTGCCCCTCATAGCCGAGCGGGCAACAACAAAAATGTCAGTGGGCTCTCTGTCCAAACAGATTGGGTTCCCTCCACCTCGACATCGTCATAGATAACACTGAAACAACGAACTCACCAGTGTGACGACATCATAGATCACACAGAACCAACGAACTCACCAGTGTGACGACATCATAGACCACACTGAACCAACGAACTCACCAGTTTGAAGTCATCATAGATAACACTGAACCAATGAACTCACCAGTTTGAAGTCATCATAGATAACACTGAACCAACGAACTCACCAGTTTGAAGTCATCATATATAACACTGAACCAACGAACTCACCAGTTTGAAGTCATCATAGATAACACTGAACCAACGAACTCATAAGTTTGAAGTCATCTTAGATAACACTGAACCAACGAACTCACCAGTTTGACGTCATCATAGATCACACTGAATCAACCAACTCACCAGCTTGACATGATCACAGTTTACACAAATCAAAACTAACAACTTTTCCAGTTTAGAAATGATTCTCTAGAGTGTGGATCAGTACATGTACTAGATTTATTTAAAATTGCCTTTGTGAAGTCTTTGCTGTTAAAAATTTTTTAACAAATCTAGATTAGAATGTTTTATTCTGTAAAGAATCATAGACCGGTTTCAAATCTACTGTTTCAATCTAAAATCTTTGAAAGGGTCATTCTCTTCCAACTTAATCTTCACTTACAATTACAAGTGAACAATCTGTTAGTTAGCACCATTCCAGCCTGTTTATCGAGCCTACCACTGCACAGAAACAGCACTTCTTACGGTCATGAATGACATGCTTGCTCACTGTGATTCAGGAAAAGTTTTACTGAGCCTTAGATAGCTATCAGTAGCTTTTGATGCAATTAACTGACCATGATAATGTATTGTTGAAGTGATTGGAAATGTTCTTGAAAATTATGGGGCTTTCCTTAGTTGGTTTTGTTTTTAACCGATCAAATCGAACCCATTCTGTAAATGGCAAAAGTTTTCAGATCATGTTCTTATGTATGGGGTTTTCCAGGGTTGACACTAATCGCATGAAAATTGGTGATGCGGAAATCTGGGGGGGGTAATCAGTCGAACAGTGGGATGCTTAACTAATTTCTGGTATATGATGCATTTTTGTACACTTACACGAAGCAAAAGGTCGTCTTATATTTACGTTACATGAAGGCCCTTATTTATATTTTAGCTCTAGTCTCGACTTTAAGAGTCATTAATGTATTGACAGCGGATTTATCATAGACTATGCGTTATTTAGTCGTGGGATATTTGAAGTATATGTACATGACGCATTTTTGTGTACACGAATCAAAATGTTGATTCATTTACATTCCCTATTTTATTCTAGTCTCAGCTTAGACTGAAAAGTTGTTATATAATTTGTGAAAAGTTCGTGCAGACCCACGATTATTTACACCTGTACATTGTCATACAATATAACACGGATAGGTCGAACACAGAGACTCGAAGTCACGCTTCCTTCGAACTGTGTCTGGGGTCCTCGGTTTTATTTTATTTTTCTTCTTTATCTTTCTAAGATATTCTTCGAACTACGCCAGTCCCTACAAATTTGAGCTATCTGTGATATACTATAAAATGTATTACTTTTTTGTGAATTGCTTTGCTATACAACAGTATAGGTTGTTGAAACATCTTTACATAGTGTTGTGGTACTGAGTTAAGGCTCAGAAATAAAATCAAGCAACTTCGATGGCAAGTCATTAAGGTAGGTGGCCACTGGGAGGTGTGCTCGGGGAAGGCATGGTATTTTAAAAAAATTGTAGTTAAGTCACTCACTGCGCACCAAAATTCAACTCTTTATCCAACGTCAAGTCTATGCTCCTCTCTACAGCTGCGAAACTTGGAAGACAACGAAGACAGTGCTTAATAAAGTCCAGACTTTCATTAACAGATGTATTAGGAGTATTCTAAGAATTAAGTGGATGGATAGAATAAGAAATGAAGAGCGGTGGGAAAGGACAGGACAAAAGGATATAGAAGTAGAAATAGGACTAAGAAAGTGGCGTTGGGTGGGACACACCTTAAGAAAGCCCAGCGGAAACATCATAAGACAGTCACTGCAGTGGAACCCACAAGGAGCACGAGGCAGGGGTAGGCCAGGGGAAACATGGAGGAGATATATATGTGGAAAGGGACATGAGAGAGAAGCTCACTTGGAACGAGCTTGGAAGGATGGCTTAGGACAGAGATAAATGGAAGGAGCTTGTATGTGGCCTATACCTGTCCCCGTAGTTTTATGCAAAAAAAATTTATGAAATTATGCAAAATGAGCCCCAAAATGTGAAATTATGCGAATCTGTTAATTTTAACAAAGAATAATAAAGGAAAATAATCAGAAATTATGCAAAAAAATGATCAAATTTGGCTAAATTATGCGGGCCGCATAAAACCACAGGGACAGCTATACCCTGCCAGGGGTGAAAGGCATAGATGATGAGTTAAGTCAAACACAAAGACTCAATAACCGTCTTTTAGAGCAGGGAAAGACGGAAACAACAGAAGAAAAGAAAGACGTTAAGACCTACCAGTGCCACATCCTTCAACAATCCACACAGACAGAGACAATAGGGGGAAAGAAAAAGGTCCATTAAGACCTACCAGTGGCACCCTCTAGCAACCTACAGCCGATCAAAGTAAAAAACAAAAAAAGTCCCTGCACCCCGGTTACTAGCAAGAACGTGTTGGTATGGCCTGTATCATGATGATGGTACATGGTGGCTGGTTGGCAGGTGCTCTGCTGTGGTTGGCTCCTTCTTTCCCCACCGAACATCTATCGTTCTGATCTCTCCTCCTCCTTTTTTTTTGTTTGTTACTCTCTTGTAACACTTCAAATCTTCGGCACTTATATGACCTTATTGTGTTGCAAGTGTCGTAAAACTATTACTAAAACACTGATATTACAATTACATGTACAATACAGCCTCTCTATGACGACCTACGATATAACGACATCCTCTGTATAACGACATGGTGCCCAGGTCCCGATTTTTTTCCTTAAATATATCATTTGTAGTTTTTGGTTGCCTCTCTATAACGACAACTCTCTATAACGACATTTTTCTGGTTCCGACGCTGTCATTATAGAGGCTGCTTTTCATTATTGTGTGCATGAAAAATAACAATTATGTTGCTCAAGAAACCTGCAATTTAATTCATGTACGCAGTGCACATGCCATTGCACAAAAATTAACTTTCCTCACCAGGATGAGTAAAAAAGGTAAATATACTATTAAAATCAAAAGGCATTCTTGTTTGGTCTTTTTTTCTTAATACCTATAAATCCACATAAACAGTAGATGTGTTTATGAGTGTTTGTGTTTATGTTTTAGTTTTAGTTTTAGTCGAGGTTTTACGGTGCTCGCAACTGCATAAGGTCATATGAGCACCAGAAGATAGAGGTGCTACAAGAGAGTAACAAACATAAAAAAGAAGGAGGGGAGATAAGGACGATAGATGTTTGCTAGGAAAGAAGAAGCAAACCACACCAGAGCACCCGCCAACCACCCACTGTGTTTGTGTGTACTTGTCCGAGTATGCGCGCGCGTGTGTGTGTGTGTGTGTGTGTGTGAAAATGCGTGTGCATATGTGACTGTGGGATTGGTTGGAGGGTGTAGCCTAATTGTGGTCCAACATGCGTTTACTTTATTAGTCTCCTTTTGTTTAGTTTAAGTAACCATGACGGTTTCACAACACTTGCAACACAAATAGGTCATAATATGAACTCCAAAAAATAGAGGTGTTAGTGTTAAAAGAGAGTAACAGAGTGCAAAGAAAAGAAAGAGGCGAGATAAGGACGAAAGACCTTTGATACGAAAGAAGGAGCAAACCACACCAGAGCATCCGCCAACCACCCACAGATTTCTCTTTTCCCCCATTTTTACAAACACACTTGCCCATTAGATCTAGTTGACTTAATTTTTAAAAAGAACACTCACAATAATATAAAACTTCAACTCAAACCACAATATATCAATGGGAATGAAATTTGATCAGTTTTATTGTAGATGATATCATTAATGATAAAAGAAATTGTCATTGTCAGATACTACAAATTGGGTAAACAAATTTCAAAAACAACAAAGAACAGACCTGCATGCAAAGCAAGCAAAAAACATAGGTCTGCTTAATTAATGCCCTCAGTGGAAACCAGCACTGCCAATATACAATAAGAAATAAGATAACGTAAATCTTAATTTGTCCAAATGCTGGCACATTGGTTTGATGTCTCACTACACACATGTGCACACATACACCAAAAAAAAAACAAACAAACAAACAAACACACACTCATGTGCACACACAAACACACCCAGACACACACACATGACACACACGTACACACACACACACACGTGTACGCTCACCCAGGAACACATACCCTCTTACACTCGCACATCCTTTCCCCCCTCCTTTATTCACATACCACACACATAATAAATGCACTCATAAACAGATCCATAGTCGCATGCATATGATATAAAAACGAACAATTACTGAATAAGAAAACAATAATATTTATGCAAGATTCATTATCAGTATCTTTCTTTAGTTAAATTTGTTTTAGTTTTAGTAAGGTTTTATGGCGCTCGCAACTGCATCAGGTCATATGAGCGCCAAGGGGTGGATGTCAACAGAAAGTCCAAACCGGGAATCAGACTTACTCTGCTCACCTCTCTAGCCTCGACAGCACAAAGTCTGCTTCAACTATCAAGGCACCACCCCGGAAGCAGTTCACAAGAGAGAGAGAGTGACAAACATACAAAAGTGGTTGAATTAGAGGAAAAATGACGATAGTAAGGACGAGTAAAGAAAAAGCAGCAGTTCCCACTAATAAAATGTAAAAAGTCAGCCTCTAAATTTGATGAACCTCTATCCACTGCACTAAAACCCAAGATGTAACTCATCTTGTCAACACGCCACACAGATTCGGTTCTTGTTCTTTTCATAAGAAATAAAATATGTCCAAGTATCCTAATAGGATCAAAAATTTTTAATTTTTACAAAAATCTATAGCATCAGCAAAAAGATTCATTGTGTGACAGGCGAACACAGTTTTAAATGGACAGCCCATCTGTATATATATATAATATATATACACATATAAACAAATAAAAATAAACCAGCAAAACACCTTTGAAAGACACTGACATCACTCCAAAATAATGCGTCAAACAGCAGAATCCAACATACTGCCTGAAAAAACAGGAAAAAACCCATATGAGAGTTCTTTTTTTTTTCTGAGTAAAGTTAGGTATTTACAGTCTTCTCAACTGCAAAAAGTCATATGAGGGCCAATATATGAGAGTTCAAAGAAGGAGTCCTGAAGTAACACACTACAGCTGTTCTCCACACGCAGCTGATGCCACTGGTGACACACCAACACGCATTTCAATACTTCGTTTTAGGTTTTATGTTTTAGTTGGAGTTTTACGACACTCGCAACACAATTAGTTTGTATGAGCGCCAAAGATTAGAGGTGTTACAAGAGAGTAAGTAAGTGACTCATTTTGTCAGCACACCTCACAAATGTTTTTACACCTCTGCTGACATATCATAATATAGCTTAGATCATATAGTTCTGCCGTCTTGGGGAAAAAGGACGAAAATCGCGACATACCTATTTTCCAAGAGAGCCAAAAAATCAAATTTATTCGTCTCACGTTTAAAAAGTTGGTTTTTTTATTTTCTTTATAACTTGATTTTTGGAAGGAGGAAGGATGGAGCAATTATGCACTCGTAGTTAAAATTTTGTTTTGAAATATCAACAAAATTTTGTGTGAGAAGACAAAAGTCATTCTTTCATAACAGATTGATGAAGTTTTAATTAGTATTTTATGCGAAAAGGACGAATGCCGATATTCGTCTTTCTTTCACCCGACGTTGTCAAATAATAACTTACTGGATTTTTCGTTTCTGTGATATTTGAGGTTCGTCTGGTTTTTTTGTAAGTGTTTTGCAGCTTCCAGACTGTTATTTAATTGCGCTTTGCCGCTGGAGCCAAAGATCTGGGGTTCAAATTCTGGTGAGTGTACACATGCAGTCGTGCTGGTCGTCTTACTGCGTGCAACACTCTTGACACTGCGGGGATCAATGCCTGATATGCCAGGATTTGACCCTTTTGGTAATTCATCATAAGACCTGTGGCATTGTAACGTAGGCATGTTTTGGCGAAGAAGGAAGAATATTGGTATATTTGTCGCTTTTTCGTAAACGGTTTTTCCTTTTCACTTGCTAATATATAGCTGAGGACGAACCTCTCGGTATTTGTCCTTTTTTCACAGTAGGACCGGAGATTCGTCTTTCTTTCATAAAATATAAAATAAATTTAAAAGAAAAAATTATGACGATACTTCCAATACCAAAATAAAGTATTCTGGTTCAAAAGATGCAGTTTTTCATGCTCTTTCACATGGTATCGATATCTCTATATGACCCAATTTCCGATATTCGTCCTTTTTTCCTATGACGGCAGAGTAGGAGGGCGGCTGCTGCCTGTCAAGGCCAATACTGAGGAGTTCTATCATTCAGCCAGCTGAAAGACAAATACTCTCAACATGTGTCACAACGCAGTGGAATCAGGGGCTCGTCAAATTTTGGGCATAGGAAACGTCAAACCAGTGAGCCAGGATCTGAACAATAAAGATGTATCTCATTCTATCTGATCTTACCTTATGTGCTTGTTTGCTGTGCATGCTCGCTATGTATGTGTGTGTGTGTGTGTGTGTGTGTGTGTGTGTGTGTGTGTGATCCCTGTATTCATCGTTCTACACCGTATACCGAAAAGAAGCAGGATCAAAAGTGGCATCTTCTGACAGCCTGATCCAATGGCAAGACAACCAAAAAGCTGATATTTGTCACATTATTTCACATGCCCTGTGCTGTCATTTCACATTATTTCACACATCCTGTTCTTTCATTTCTCATTATTGCACATTATTTCACACGCGCTGTGCTGTCATTTCACATTATTTCACACTTGTTGTGCTGTCATTTCACATTATTTCACACTAGTTGTGCTGTCATTTCACATTATTTCACCCTTGCTGTGCTGTCATTTCACATTATTTCACACTTGCTGTGCTGTCATTTCACATTATTTCACACATCCCGACCTGTTTTTTCACACTATTTCACACGCGCTGTGGTGCTGCATGCCTTGCCCCAGGACCTGAGGCAAGCCCAGACTTTAGCCTGCAGCCGTCCCGTACTCTCACACATCTTTCAGCCATCGCGGAGAACTGGGAAGCCCTGTGTACCGAGACCAGCTTGTTCCGTTTCTCCGCATCCTTGTACAGGTAACCCCACAAGTCGGAAGTGCTCTGAAAAATAATAGACAGCACTGTGTTGGTCATAACATACTTGCACATTTTTTGTCTTTGTTTCGGGAAAACTGGAAGAAAATAGTTGTTCTTCTTAGCTTACACCTTGAGCACACTGCCAATTCAATTCAGTCGAATTAAGTTGTGTCCAGTCATTTTTTTCCTCTACAGATGGACATAAGCTTCCATTTTGGCACAATTTGACCGCATTTGACTCGCGATCTTGGAAACAAATGCGTTTGGCTTTTGAAGGTCACAATCAAATTTAGTTGAATTTGGTCAAATGGTACGCCAAAATGGCAGCTTTTGCCCCTCCGAAGAGGAAAATCTTTTTTTAGTTTTAGTAAGGTTTTACGGCGCTCGCAACTGCATAAGGTCATATGAGCGCCTAGGGGTGGATGTCAACAGAGAAGTCCAAACGGGGAATCAGGCTTACTCTCCTCACCTCTCTAGTTTCAACAGCACAAAGTCTGCTTCGACTATTAAGACACCCCGGAAATAGCAGTTCACAAAAGAGTGACAAAAATACAAAAGAAGTAGAGGAAAAATGCCGATAGTAAGGATGAGTAAAGAAAAAGCAGCATTTCCCCCATGTTGTTCCGGCACAGCATGAGCATGACATTAATAGGTCAGCCCATTTACAATTCTACTGTGCATAAGAACATGTTAACATCCCCCCTTTGGGAACCTAAAGACAAGTTCAGTAGGTAGCATTGCCCTGGGAGGGGGGGGAGAGAGAAAGGGATAAGACATCCAAGTATACAGACAGATCTTGATTTTTAAAAACCCTCCTCGCAATGCAACAATAAACAGCTTACTAACTCCTACACCACATATATTTTTATATTGCCGGTATCTAAGCACATAAGTTACTGAGGATCAGATGGACAGACAGGGTCACCAATGTGGAAGTGTTTATTAAGGAAAACAAGAGAGATCCCAGTCAGAGATGAAGTAGGAAGAAGGCGGTGGCGATGGATTGGACATACTCTCAGGAAGTCAGGCAGCTGCATAACAAAGAAAGTTTTGGATTGGAACCCACAGGGCAAGAGATCAAGGGGAAGACCTCATGGAACCTGGAGAAAAGTCACAGAAATCGATGTACAGAAAAGTGGAAAGACATGGAATAACATCAAGAGGCTAGCCCAGGATAGAGAAAAGTGGAGGGTGTTTGTCCGTGGCCTATACCCTGGTGCAGGGTGAGAAAGGCAATGATGATGATCTCAGCACATAAATGATGGGAACTTACCAAAGTCTCAAAGTGTCCAACCACGTATAGCGCCAGTTTGGCTCGAGTCAGGGCCACGTTCATACGTTTCTGGTTCTCCACAAATCTGAAATAAAAGGTACAAAAGAAAAAATTAATTAAAAAATCAACGGGCGTGGAGTGTTTTCGTAAGCGTTTTATGGCACTTGCAACACAATTAGGTCATGTAAGTGCTGAAGATGAGAGTATTTAGAGATAGTTGTTGCAAGAGAGTAACATACACAAAAAAGAAGGAAGAGAGAGAGAGATAAGGACGATAGATGTTTGATAGGAAAGAACAAAGGAGTAAACCACACCGGAACATCCACCAACCACCCACAGCATGTTTTTTGGGAGTAACAAAAGTTCCACTTTCAAGTTCAGGAAAAAAATAAAAATATTTCCCCAAATAGAACGCCAGGCATCTTTAGTTTTGTTTAAGTAGAGGTTTTACAGCACTCCCAACTAGCTGCATAAGGTCATATGAGCACCAAGGGGTGGATGTCAACAGAGAAGTCCTTACAGGGAATCAGGCTTACTCTGCTCACCTCGCTAGCTTCAACAGCACAAACTCTGCTTTGACTATCAAGGCACCCCCGGAAATAGCGGGTCACAAGAGAGTGACAAACTTACAAAAGAAGTAGAGGAAAATGACAATAGCAAGGATTGGGAAAGAAAAGCAGCAGTTTCCAGTTGTAGATCAGGCACAATTATGAGCATGACATTGATGAATCAGCCCATATACAATTACAATTCTACTCTGTATAAGAACATGTTCATGTCCCCCCTTTGGGAATGGCCTAAAGACACTTCAGTCAGTAGCACCGTCCCATAGGTTGAATAAGGTTTAAACCCCAGTACACCAGTAATAAGTGGCCCAACATAACACCGCAAGACTAGTGCTGAAGAAAAAGAAGAAAGATCCTGCATCAAAAACGTTAAAAGCTCTGCATTGGCTTCCAGTTGATAAAAGAATCCAATATAAAGTTTCTACCATCTGTTATAAATGTTTTAACGATTAAGCCCGATCCTATCTATCTGAGCTTTTAACACTATATGTTCAATCTCGTCAGTTGAGGTCATCCACAAGCGCAACAAAATTCAGAGACCCTAGAATGAAATTAAGATCTTTTGGTGAGAAGAGTTTCTCATTTTTGGGCCCAAAAATCTGGAACACCTTGCCTCAGGATCTCGGAGTGGCAACAAATTTTGATAGGTTTAAGCGACTGCTCAAGACTCATTTGTTCGATTGTTAGTTATAGTGTGTTAGTAAGTTCTGATTTTTTAAAATACATGTGTGTATATACATATTATATGTCCTTTCGTGTGGTATAGTTAATGTATGGTTGTGAAAGTTTTTCTTTATGTGGTTGAACTGGGTTTTTTTGTTTTGTGAAATATTTTTTCTTGTGTGGATGTTTATGTGACTGGTGTGAAACGCTCAGCACTTATACTAGTATGGGATAATAATAATAATAATAATAATAATAATAATAATAAATAGCATTTGTATAGCGCATGTCCCCACTCGAAAGCAAACTCTATGCGTTTTACACTACATATTATTACCCCAGCAGACCAAAGAACACTCAGAAACATTCTCAGCTTCCCGGGAAGCACACAGTTCAAGCAGCCGGTTAAATGCTCAAACACTAACAAACTGACAAGATCTTTCGCTGTCTTTAGCTGGGTACCCATTCCCACCTGGGTGAAGTGGGGAAAATTCTGGTAAAGTGTCTTTCCCAAGGACACAACGTCGGGCCCGCGGCTCGAACCCCTGAGCCCGCAACCTCACAATTACGAGTCCGGTAGCCTAACCACTAGGCCACTGACGCTATATAAATGCAATCTATTATAATTATTATTATCATTATTATTAATACTGTAGCCACTGACCCAATTGTTGTGGGGTTGCTCTGAGCTCGCACACACGACATGATGATGACATCACGCTCCTGTCCCTGGAAGCCGTCCACTGTGTTGACCACCACCTCGCGCAGGTTGCTGCACACACAAAGTTGGGTTTTTTACATTAAAAAGTTGGGGTTTTTAAAATTAAAAAGAGTCTTTTTTTTTTTTCAAAGGTAGGTGCTTTATCGCTCCCATCAATACAAATCGTGGGTGATTGGTAGGTGCTTTGGTCTTCTTTCCTATCAAAGCTCTATCTTTCTTATCTTTCCTCCTTCTTTTCTTTATATGTTACTCTCCAGTATCACTTCTAAATAAGTGCGGAGACCCTCCCCCGTAAATAAATTATAATTGCTATGATGAAAAATCTTTATCATCATGATCAAGAATATTGCACTTGTGGTAAAGAGGAAAAAAAAATAAAAGCAATTAAGAAATAAATGCAGAGACCTCTATGGATTAATTATTTTATCATCCATATGGGCCATTTCTTACATACTGTACTTCTCAAGAGATCGAGAATATTGCACCTGTGGTCAGTTTTCAAAAAACGAAACTGCTTCCACCAATGTCTGTGGTTTGGCGGTTAAGCTCTAGGCTCTTCACCATTGCACAAAGAAGACACGAGTTCGATTCCCGAGTGGACAAGTTTTTCTAATCGAGGATCGCCATCTTTCTGCAGAGACTTTGAGTCCCTCTCAGCCCAGGTCCTAAATGACCTAAACTGCGTTGATTTATCACCATCATCATCACCGACTAAACAATTCCTCTTGTTCCTGTAGCGCTTTTCCTGAAACATAACAATTTGCACCATGTCAATACATTTTTACGTAACCTACAAATATTGGCACCAAAATCTGGACACAGGGTATAAAAAAAAAATAAAATAAAATAAAATAAAAAAAAGAAACCAGTGTTTATTTGGACGGAGGGTGGGGGTGGGGGTTGAAACAACTACAATATGTTTTTCTCTTAGACTAGTTGTAGGGGGGGAAAAAAATAGACATCTCAGCCTCTGAGAAATGAGTGGTGATACCTACCTCAATGGATCGACTGTGTCTCGACGCAGTGGAGATAGGCGCTCGGCAGTTTTTGTTTGTTTTAGTAAGGGTTTTACGGCACTTGCAACACAATAAGGACATATAAGTGCCAAAGAATAGAGGTGTTACTAGAGAGGAAGAAACACAAATAAAGAAGGACGAGAGATCAGGACGATAGATGTTTGATAGGGAAGAAGGAGTAAACCACACCAGAGCACCCGGCAACTACCAACTCGTCAGTTTTTGAGCACATGGAGTTATTCTGATCTGCTTAAAGCTTGTTCATTTGTCTTGCTTTTTTAATTCTTAAAATACCTATCTCTATCTCAAATAAAAGTCGAGATATTTGTGATTGAAGAAAGAATTAGCGAGAAAATGGCTGCCAAAGTTTGGTGAATTCCAAGGCTTGAGTGTCCTTTGAAACTGCAAATTTAGATTTTTGCGTCTTTTATCAATGGTTTTCAATAAAAGCCATACAGAAATGTGTTTTCATATACGAATATAACAGGCATAGAGCCCAAAATAAATTTTTACAATCCATAAAAAATAGGCCAACGGGCGCAAAAATGGCGGTTTCGATTCCCCTTATTTTGACGAGCACCTGATTGCACCACGACACCACACAGTTATCACAGCTACAAAAAAAAATAACTTCTCACATCTTTCTCAACTGTTCGAGAATATTCGACTTCTGGTCCGTGTAGGGGCATATGATTCCGATTCTGTTCTGGAAGTGTTCGCGTCGACCACGACTTGCAACGGCAAACACATCCAGCACGGCCGCACACAGCTGGGCTATGCAGGATGCTTCCACAGGGTTGGAGAACGATCTGAAACCCGAGGAAGAAACGCAATTGATAATTTTGGCTCTGTCATTATGACAAAAACCAGAGGAAGAAACGTGATTGGTAGTAGTATTGGCTGTCATTCTGACAAAATCCCAAGGAAGAAACACAATTGATAGTTTTGGCTCTGTCATTACGACAAAATCCCAAGGAAAAAACGCAATTAATAGTTTTGGCTCTGTCATTATGACAAAAACCAGAGGAAGAAACACAATTGGTAGTAGTATTGGCTCTGTCGTTATGACAAACAGTCAAAACAAGAAGAAGAATGGCATTCTGTGTAAAAGGATGTGGAAATGGGGGTGGTGGTAAAAGAGATGGGGAAGGAGGAGAGGACACAGGAGGAGGAGGAGGAGGAGGAGGAGGAGGAGAAGAAGAAGAAGAAGAAGAAGAAGAGGGGGTTTTATTTTGGGGGGTTTTAGTTTTAGTAAGTGTTTTACGGAACTTGCAACACAGTAAGTTCATATAAGTGCCAAAGATTAGAGATGTTACGAGAGAGAAACAAACACAAAAAAGGAGGGGAGATCAGGACGATAAATGTTTGATATGAAAAAAGAAGCAAACCACACCAGAGCACCCGCCAACCACCCACCAAGAAGAAGAAGAAGAAGAAGAAGAAGAAGAAGAGGAGGAGGAGGAGAGAAGAAGAAGAAGGAGAAGAAGAAAAAGAAGAAGAAGAAGAAGAAGAAGAAGAAGAAGAAGAAGAAGAAGAAGAAGAAAAAGAAGAAGAAGAAGATGAAGGAGGAGGAGAATAATAATAATAATAATAATAATAATAATTCCACCCTTTAAAAGGTGAGAGCGTCTCCATCTGCTCACCTGCTGTGGCTCGCCACCTCCATTCCCTCACGGACGTCAAACACCAAGTACGGCTCTAACACCGACTGACGGGAGGAAATTGCACTGGAAAAAAATAACACATTGCAAAATGGATTGTCAATTGTCAACACCTTGCCTGGGCTGCAGTGTGAACAGATTCTAACAACTGGTGAAAGAGGGGGGGGGGGGTAAGTAGGTTTATTCAGTGTTTAAGGCCATTGGCCCACATCCCATCATATAAAATACTCATTTGATCAATAAAGTTTCCGTAATGATAAAAGTACAGGTTGTGCACATATCTGTTATCGTGAGTCAAACATTGCATATTTCTGTCACTGGGCCGAGTCAGGCAGGGAGGAATTAACAATATTCTTCCATGGACAAATTATGGACAATAGAAAATAAAGGGAAATTCATGTTCAATTTCATGAGAGTAACACCTCTCATATAAGGCGAATTTGTTAATTTCCACCGAAAGAGATTGTTATTTAATGGAAGGCTATGAGTTTTTAACAAAGCTATGACTCTTCTGTTCCAATACCGCGGGAGGTTGGTGAAAAACTCAGCTTTTTCTTGAAACATATTGTAAGAGAAAATAAATTATATTTGCGACAGACTTCTTCCTCTATGTTCTGCACAGAATGATCAACAAGTCTACTTTTTTATTTCAACCGGTGAAAGGGAAAACTTATTAAATTGAAGGAACCAGGAAAGAGGTGGAAAAGCCTTGAAAAGAAACCTAGCGCCAAAACAAAACAGCCCTAAACAGAAAGCCTGAGAAAAAGAAAAAAAAGGCTTGACAAACAAATCCTGAGAGGAGATGAAACAATGCTGAAAAGAAGTCCCGAGCTGAAACATGGCTGAGAACAGAAATCATGAAACAAAATGAGTCATGACGTGGTGAAATCAGGCGCTCGTCAATTTTTGGGCATATGTGGTTATTGGTATCATCTTAAGGTAAGTTAAAGCTTGTTCATTTGCATTCTTTTTGGTGAAAAAAATATCCATGTAGAAATATTTGCGATTGAAGAAGGGTCGCCTTGTTTCAGAGGAAAAATTAATGAGAAAATGGCCGCCAAAGTTTGGTAACTTCCACAGACTGAGAGTCCTTGGAAACTGAAAGAAAAATTTTTTTGCGCCTTTAATCAATGTTTTCCAGTAAAATCCACACAAAAATGTATCTTTAAATGGACATAAAAGGCGTTAAGCCAAAAAAAATAAAATTCGAAAAAAAATTGCTCCACATCCAGAAAAATGCTGGTTTCTTCAATTTCAATATTTTGACAAGCGCCTGATTTCACTACGATGACTCACACACATATATCAGTTACCTGGCAGTGGTTAGTCTGTCTTCGTAGAAGTAAGCATTCGGCAGAGCCAAGATGTCCGGATGCATGCGGTACTGCTCGTGGAGCGACATGAGGGGGCTCTCACACTCTCCGTCCTGGCACAGCATCTCAAAGTGCTGGTGCAGCCTCTCAAACAGGGAGCGGTCCAGGCGAAGCTCGCGAGCTTTCTGAAAGAAAAAAAAAAGTGCAAATAAACAAGAATAAGCCACAATACAACAGTGTCAGTGCAATCTGAGGGCCTTGTTAAACTTAATAATGATAATAATAGTGATAATAATAAAAATAATAATAGTAGTAGATAGTTTTAGTAGAGGTTTTACGGCGCTCGCAACTGCATAAGGTCATATGAGCGCCAGAAGATTAGAGGTGTTACAAGAGAGTAACAAACATAAAAAAGAAGAAGGGGAGATAAGGACGATAGATGTTTGATTGGAAAGAAGAAGCAAACCACACCAGAGAACCCGCCAACCATCCACTAATAATAATAGTAATTGCAATAATAATAATAATAATAGTTATCATAGTAATAATAATAGTAGGCCTAATCATCATCACCATCACTTCTACGGCGCCCACTCCATGCTGGCTCTAGGCACTTACTTATTTTTCCCTTCGAGTTTGTATTAGTAAATCTATTGACCCTCCCAAAGATCCTTCATAAAAAGATAGTTCACTCGGCCAAAAAATGTCCGCGGAAGTCTGTGCTTTGCTTCAGATGGCGCTGTAGTCTTTGTTTTGAAGCTCTCTTTCGTTTCTTCAGAAGAAGAATAGGAATAGCACAGTTTGTTTGTTTCGCTTTTTTGTTTTGCACTCAAGTAGGGACACTCTGTTCGCAAAGTTTGCGCTTTTTCCAAGTGGGCACCACCGGATTTTGAGGACACCTTTTTGGATCGGCTCAAAGAGAGGAGTGAACTATCTCGTTCGGAAACGATCCTTGACCCTCCAGTATGAGGAGATTGAATATCCCAGTTGCGCTTGCGAGACCTACTTCTTGCCCACAGTTGAAAACCGTCAACTTACTTCATAGAGGGTGCGGAGCAGGTAGTGCGCTCATCTCTGAAGCGGAAGGTCCAGGTTCGAGCCTCGGATCGGACACAGATTTTTTCCGTCCCCTCCTGCCCACCCAGCAGTAATGGGTACATGACTTCGAGTTGGGGAAGTAAAGGCAGCATGGAAAGGTACTGGCCATCCAACCACAATAATATGCCGAAGGCCCAGGAAGTCATCTCACTAACAAGGCAATCTCCAACGTCCAGATCAGATGCGGGAACAACTTTACTTTTTACTTTATTTCATAGCAAGTCATATGAGGCTTCACGAACAAGAAACACTGAAGCCACCTCCCCTCCCCCCCCCCCCCCCCCAAACACCCCCAGGGCAGTGCTACTGACAGTAGTGTCTTTAGGCCATTCCTAAAGGGGGGGATATTAATATGTTCTTATGCACAGTAGAATTGTAAATGGGCTGATTTATCAATGTCATGCTCACACTGTGCCAGAACAAAGTGGGAGGAACTACTGCTTTTTCTTTCCTCACCCTTACTACTGTCATTTTAAAAACATTTTTTAATGGAGATCGGACAAGAAAACACTGAGGTCGCGAGATATTGTCAGGCAAACTATTATTATTATTATTATTATTATTATTATCCTTATTATCATTATTACTATTATTACTACTTTACAGTTAAACAGAATAAATAGCAAAACATCCAAAAAGTGAGTAACAATCTGTGGGTGACCACTCACTTGTGAGATGACTGTGGCTGGCAGCTGCTTGTGGTCACCGACAAGTATTAGTTTGGTCACTTTGTACTGCAGGGGAATTAAGCAGTCCATTTCTATTGCTTGGGTTGCCTGGAAATAAAATAGATAGGGTTTAGGGGTTTTTTAGTAAGTGTTTTACAACACTTGCAAGACAATAAGGTCATATAAGTGCTGAAGATTAGAGGTGTTACAAGAGAGTATCAAACACAAAAAGGAAGAAGGGGAGATAAAGGCAAAGAGAAATTTGCTGCAGCATGGCGAATACATGCATAGAATATCACTAAACATTAAAAAAATATTTCAGTACCTCGTTCACTGATTCTTGTGATTATCCCTTCACATAATCCCTTTTTTTTAAGATTCATTGTTTGAGGAAGCAACATCCATTTTCAGAAGATTGATATATGTATTTTTAAAAAATCTTCTGAGCAGTTAAAAATGGATAATTACCTTACACTATGCAACTAATGATACCTGATCAACTGATCAACTGTGACAATGATTCATATCCCTTAAAACTAAACAATTAAAAAATCAACAATCTACATTAAAGAACACAAGCATACCTGCCAATTAAAAAAAAACAAGCAAGACTCTACCTATGTGGTAGGTCAAGATGGGGAGCATTGTTTTTGTTTTTAGTAAGCGTTTTACAACACTTGCAACACAATGAGGTCATATAAGTGCCGAAGATTAGAGGTGTTACAAGAGAGTAACAAACACAAAAAAGGAGGAGAGATCAGGACAACACACGTTTGGTAGGAAAGAAGGAGCAAACCACACCAGAGCACCCACCAACCACCCACGGGGGAGCATTAGCCAAGTAACCCCCCTCTAAACACACACTTTTCTGCATTCTATATTCAAGCTATTCAAAGAAGATCTGTAGGCTTTGTTCTCATCATAAGATAAGAACAAATAAGATAAGATAAGATTTCATTGATCTCCACAAAGAGAAATTGTAATGCTGCAGCATTGTTAATACATACACACATGCACACACACACACACACACATGCACACAAGCACACACACACACACACTCATGTACAAACACACATACACAGACACACATTCGCACAAACGCAAAGAGGAGGAAAACATTCACCTCATCAATAATAAGACAGGAGAAGGGCTGTTGATGACGAGGCTCCTCTTTGCGCAGAAGAATCTGCTGGGCCTGATCCGACCCAAAACTGCTGAGGGTTCCGCACACAATGTTGGCGCGGTCCAGTACCACACACTGGCCAGTGTAACGCTCTCGAGGTGTAGGCTGTAGGAGATACCATATTTTATAAATACCATAAATACCTCATTAATACCATATTTCATTTGTTTTAGTTATGAGTGGTGGGTTTTTTTTTATTGGGGGGGGGGGGGTTTGGTAAGTGTTTTATGGCCCTCACATTAGTCTATTAAGAGATTTACAGCACTTGCCACACAATTAGGTCATGTAAGTCATTAGGACCAAAGACTAGAGATGTCACAAGAGAGTTACAAACACACAAAAAAAAGGAGGACAGATCATGGCGATAGACGATTGATGGGAAAGAAGGAGCAAACCACACCAGAGCATCCGCCAACCACCCACACAATACGTTACATCCCATCTTCATCATAGTAATAATAATAAAAATAATAATAATATTAATAATAATAGTAATAATAATAATAGTAATAATAATAATAATAAAAATTGTGAGAAATAATTGCGAAACTACAACATCTCAACTGAAAGAGCTGAAGACTTGGCTACAGCAGAAAACTGCATCTCTCCTCGACACTCAACGGCAACAGAGGATGAAAAAGAAAAGAAAGAGTCGCATTTATATAACCCGTATCCACACTCTACAGCATTCTTTCTGCACTTTACAACTACTATCACCCTCGTAGACCCTATCAGAACACTCAAAAACATTCTCGGACTCAGGAGAAGCATGTAGTACAAACTGCAGACCTGACGCACTAAAACACTAATAAACTGACAAGATCTTTCGCTTTCTACAGTCAGATAGCCATCCCATCATGGGTGCAGTGGAAAAAATTTGAGGGTTTTTTTTGGTTTTATTTTGTTTCATATGGCCTTTCCCATGTAGACAATATCAAGCCTCTGATGGGGTTCAAATCCACAGCCTTCCCAATGCAAGCCCAATAGCCTAACCACATTGACCACCAACAACTTCATTTCAGCACTACTGAGGCCAATATTCTACATCAAATCAGAACAGCGGACAAAAAATGTATTCTTTTAACCCTATTCGTACGTCCCGGGGTCATTTTGTACCCCCGGGGTTGCATTCTTCACATTTTAGAATACTTCTAGTATGAAGATCTCTTTGAAACTTTCAGTATTTCTCAAAAAATCATTTTAACAGACTGCTATGCAAAGCGTACGGATCGGATTAACGAGTAAATTTCCTCTTTGGAAAGTGGTGGCACAGAGTTCCCCACATCGTACACGTCGTATGGCGTATGGATAGGGTTAAACAGTTGTACCTGCTCTACAACATGACAGAATAGACAGGTTTAAAGTTGGGTGGAGCCCTTTGAAAGGATGAAAGTAGAGAAGGATGGAAAAAAGAGTTTGCCCCATCATCCTTGCAGCCCTAACATTCATCTAGACTAGACTAAGGAATAGGTAAGTAAGTACCTGTTCTACAGAACACCTGGTCCAACACAACGCCCCCCCCCCCCCCCTGTATTTTTCCTATGTCATAATGACACTGTTCAAGACATCCACCTGTCTAAGACAACCACTTTCCTCCCCACCAATGGACGAACGTCTTGGACAATTTGACTGGACTGGACTTGCCTTTCTCCCAAGGCCGCCCTCACTCTCCAGATTCTGCAATTGTTTCCGTAACTGAACCAGGTCTGATCTCTTCACAGAAACCTGCGAAAATGTGAAAAGATTCTTCATTTTAAAAACCATATATACAGTATCTTTTCTTCAAACCAAACATATATATTTTATATATACACACAGTTTTATTTTAAGCATGACAGAGGAGTATCAAATAATGAAAGTTGGAATTTATCAAAATACAGATCAGCATTGCATTAACTCATTCAGTGCCATGGACGAGAATACTCACAAAACCTGGGCCCCGCCCAATTAATACTAGTGACGAGTATTCTCTCATTCTGCCTTGTTATCTTTATAGAAAGAATGGCTCTATCTAATCCGTACCAAGTAATTTTACTAATCGTGATGCATCATGGGAAAGGTCAAAGAGACATTTTTTCTGCTCGAACAGCCATTGAGCCTGCTAGTTTTCATTGATTTTCCTGGGTAGACCTAATTTCTTGTTGCCGTAACAAAACTGCCCAGTATATGAGGGGAGTCACTGCTGGAGCGCTCAGCACTGAATGAGTTAACTCTTAAACTCTTTATATCCAGGAGGGGGGGAACCTCTGCCGCGCTGTAGGACAACCGCGGCCGGAGATTTCTGTCGGGGGGGGGGGGGGGGTCCCCACTCTGCTGTGGCTCTCTTTTGGTGCAAAACCTAAAAGTGACATACGTCCTTAAACTGGTCATTAATTCTAAACAAAATGAACTTATTTTGATAATTCAAGTCCCACATGACACTTTGCTCAAGATGAATTTTAACTCAACCTCAGAACGTCTGCACTTTTCATTTGGCTGAATAAACAATTTCAAGGTAAGTTTTTACTCATTAAAATAATAAAATGTAAACCTGAAAATTAGAGACTGTATCCAGCAAAATTCTAAGACAGTAACTAAATAAGAAAAAGGCCTTCTCAGGCTAAACAGAGCCACAGTTGTTTCTACATTTATTACAGGATAAGAGTTTCAATTAGGCATCATTTTGAAAGGACTGCAAATGTTTTTCGTCCCTATACCCACAATTTACATTATTTAATAAGAGGAAGGCTGCTTCCATCCGCCTGTCACGGCCAACTTTGACAGAGTGAGATACAGCATCCTAGCAAGAAAATCAACTGCTCCGTTTAATAAACTTCCTCACTAGAGAAGCAGCCACCTCACATCTTTGGTGTGCAAGCCGAAGAACCTAACCGTAACACTACAGACGCTTCTTGTTTCTTCATACAAGGTTAATGTACAAACCTTACAGGGAAGCCACTGGGATTTTGTGAAAATACCTGAAATTTTACAAAAGTTGGATTTGCAAACAAATTGACAGTTAATAGACACAACTAAATGAGGTTCAACAAAAACAAAATGCTCAGAATAATGACTATTCTTCTGGTGAAAATAAAGAAAAAAGAACCCAGAAAAATGGAACAGCATTCCTGATCTCAATATTACCTGAGCTTCTGGGGTGGCTGGATCGTTGACAGACTTTTCCAGGTGGGTGATGCGCCCCTTGAGATACTCCAGCTCCTTCCGTACACTCTCCGGTACATTACGTTGGAGACCTGCCGTAAAGATTTCAGTCACACAGTACGTGTCAAGGTCAACAGTATTGAACGTTCTGTCATTAATTTGGAACTATTTTCTCCCCATTGAAATTTGTTGGGCGAGAATCAGCTTCAAATGCAGACTGACAAAAGAAAAGAAAACTGAAAAGCATATCTCTTAGATTTAGTAAGAGTTTTGCATCACTTGCAACACTACAAGGTCATATAAGTGCCGAAGATTAGATGTATTACAAGAGAGTAACAAACATAAAAAAAGGAGGAGAGACCAGGACGATAGGTGTTTGATAGGAAAGAAGGAGCAAACCACACCAGAGCACCCACCAACCACCCATGCATATCTCTTATCACATTGAACTTCAGTGTATAGTCACAAGTTACATGTCAAACGATTGAGAAATACGGAAACCATTGCCATAAAAAAATGTATGTACTATTGTCATATAAAATAATACAAGATCACTTTTTGTTGTCTGTTCAAGTATGCCTTGTAGGTTTGACACTTCATTAATCAAAATACAGTCGAATTTGTCCAAAACAGTCATCCTTGTTTTGTTTGTTGCTTTAGTAAGGTTTTACGGCCCTCGCAACTGCATAAGGTCATATGAGCGCCAAGGGGTGGATGTCAACAGAGAAGTCCAAACGTGGAATCAGGCTTACTCTGCTCACCTCTCTAGCCTCAACAGCACAAAGTCTGCTTTGACTATCAAGGCACCCCGGAAATAGCAGTTCACAAGAGAGTGACAAACATATAAAAGAAGTAGAGGAAAAATGACGATAGTAAGGATGAGGACAGAAAAAGCAGCAGTTCCCCCCTAAGTTGTTCCGGCACAGTATGAGCATGACATTGATAAATCAGTCCATTTACAATTCTACTGTGCATGTTAACATCCCCCCTTTGGGAAAAGCCTAAAGACAACTTCAGTCAGTGGCACTGCCAGGGGGGTAAACAGTCATCCATTGCCCAGGAAAAAGTGATTGTCTTAGAAAGGCAGACGACTTGGACAATGCCAGTCATTAAAATACAGAGAGAAAAATGTAATACGGGGTGCCCACTACGGCTGGGATCGGCGCAATCGCCCAACTCGATCGCCTCAAAAACAAACATGTTTGTTTTCAGTTTCAGGCGATCGAGTCGGGCGATCGGCCTCATCCATCCGTAGTGGGCACCCCGTATTAGGAGAGTGGGAAGAGGTTGCTTCTAACGGCGATTATCTTGGAAGGAGCAGGCTGTAAGAGCGGGCTCGGCTGGGTAATAATTGATATCTTATTCTTTTGTACATTGTGAAGTTTTCACTTCTTCTCTCTCCCCTTCCCCTGCTGCCTTTCTCTTCGAACTAACTAAATGTGAGGCAGCGTGGTGAAATCGGGCGCTCGTCATAATAATGAAAGTCAAGAAACTGGCTTTTTTCAACAAGTTTGGAAACTTTTATCGAATTTTTGTTTTTTGGCTCAACACCTTTCATGCCCAATAAAGAACACATTTCTGGGTGTATTTTACTGAAAAATGTAGATTTGTAGATAAAGGAATAAAAGATGTAAATTTTCAGTTTCCACAGACTTTCCAGCTAAGGAAATAACTCAACTTTGGAAGCCATTTTATTGCTAATTTTACCTCTGAAACCAGGTGACCCCCCCACCTCCTTCAATCGCCAATATCTTAACTTGTATTCAAGACAAATGGAAATTTTTTTCATCAAAAGCAAGGCAAATGAACAGGCTTTGAGATGATAACAATAACTTCATATGACTAAAAAATTGACGAACGCCTGATTTTACCGCATCGTGACACAAATACTAAAAGAATGGAAATAAAACAGGAATTTCCCTCACTTGTTCTGCAGTAAGTGTCCACCAAAGCATCCCAGTGGAAGGGCTTCACCTCCGCGTGGACACTGTCCACCTTGCCTAACCTCACCAACAACAGTTTCTGCAGCTCTGAAATCAGAAGAAACAGTCTTTAACATTTTTCACCAAAAATAATAATAATAATCATAATAATAGATTGCATTTATATACATGGGGCTCAACTCAGAATTTTTGAAAAGGAGGAACTTTCCGCCTGATCTCAACAAAAAACATTTTCACGAGACACCCATTATTATTATACTGTTTAACCCTAGAATGCTGAAATTAAAAACCATCAATTTATTCATACCAATTTGAGGGTTTGGAAGATAATTTCAAAAAAAAGAGTAGCGATAGCGGAGTTTAGCGGGGGGAAATGGCAGTGTGGAAATCTGCTAAATAGCGGAACAAAAAGACCTATAACATAGCACTCTATCTCATATGAGCATAAGCTCTGAGCACTTTACATCAGTCACATGATCACTGAGTGATTCAAACAAGAAAAAATATTTCACAATAACAAGAAAAACCAGTCCAACCACATAAAGAACTTTCACAACCATACATTAATTATATACAAGTAAGGACAGCAGTAAAAAACATAACATATCAGCACTTCTTACTAACACACTATAACTAAGAACAAATGAGTCTTGAGCAATGGCTTGAACGTATTCAGATTTGTTATTTCTCTGAGATCCTGGGGCAAGGAGCTCCAGATTTTCTGACCAAAAAATGAGACTTTTCTCACCAAAAGATCTTAATTTCATTCTAGGGGCTCTGAATTTCGTTGCGTCTGAAGATGACCGTAACTGACGAGATGGAACTTACGGTGTTAAAAGCGCAGACAGATAGGATGGCTTTATCGTTAAGACATTTAAAACAGATGGTAGAAACTTTATACTGGATTCTTTTATCAACTGAAAGCCACCGCAGAGCTTTAAACATTTTTTATGCAGAATCTTTCTTTATTTTTCTACAGCACTATGATGCACTTAATATTAGATACGTCCACCATCATCAAACTACAAAGTATACAGATTATAGATCGAAGCCTAGTTTAACTAGCTATTCAGAATTCAGATCAAACTGCATTATATCGCCCCGACCCTTAAGGAATAAGGAGAAATCACACGGCCACTTTAATAAAGATCCCAGCATCAAAACATGCAGAAGAATACTATTCTTTCATTATTATAAATAAAAGTCTTTGTCTCTTTGTCCGCCCTATTTACTATCGACAGAGCACACGTGACACATGGCAAATACGACGTCTAAACCTAAGATCTAACTCTGGGTCTTTTAGTTCTAGTAAGGTTTTACAGCGCTCCCTACTGCATAAGGTCATATGAGCGCCAAGGGGTAAGGTCATATGAGCGCCAAGGGGTGGATGTCAACAGAGAAGTCCAAACGGGGAACCAGGCTTACTCTGCTCACCTCTCTAGCCTCAACAGCACAAAGTCTGCTTCCACTGTCAAGGCACCCGGGAAATAGCAGTTCACAAGAGAGTGACAAACATACAAAAGAAGTGGAGGAAAAATTACGATAGTAAGGATGAGGGGGAAAAAAGCACCAGTTCCCCCAAGTTGTTCCGACACAGTATGAGCATGACATTGATAAATCAGTCCATTTACAATTCTACTGTGCATAAGAACATGTTAATATCGCCCCTTTGGGAATGGCCTAAAGACACTTCAGTTAGTAGCACTGCAGTGGGGAGGAGGGGGTGGGGGGTGAGGACTCTGGGTCTACTCGGCCTATCTTAAAATACTCACACAATCCAACCACATATGGAAAATATGATGTCTTGACCTAAAACAGATCTCTAGATCTCAGAAATCAATTACATCTATGGACTCTCGGTCTGAATCTAGTCTAACACAACACTGATGAACACCGAATCCTGAATTACTAAAAAAGCACACTTCACTTCACCTCATCGTGATGCTGAACAGGTGACAAATTAACCGACTAACACAAGACTATGCGCCTTGATAACAAACGCTTCTATTTAATGAAACAAAAACAATCCAAGCAACTTTCCCAACTATCTTCGCCCCACCCCTCTTTCTGTGCTGCAACAGACAAACACGCGGCACGAATATGTAACATCAAAGTGACAGGAGAGGAGGAGAGGTACGGGGGGGGGGGGGGGGGGGGGGGGGGGGGGGGGGGGGGGGAATTAACCCCCAAAGAAACAAAAGCAATACCACCATGAAAGCGCTTCTTTCATCAGGACGAGTTGGAGACACCATTGGAAGACAACTCTCGTTCTTGCACTAACGGTGGTACTAGATCTACTCGAATGGCAGTGTACCGAGCTTTTTCCGACATTGGGTACTCTCTTCCAAACAAAATCTGACTTTTCTGACCAACCCCCAAAAATCCTGCCTTTTTCCGACTCTGCTGGACATCCAGTAATAATAATAATACATCACTTCTATGGCACGCACTCCCTGCAGGCTCTAGGTGGTTACTTACTTTTCTCTTCCAGTTTTTTATTAAACTTAATGACCCTCCTGGCCAGCTCATCCACAGCAGCATTGGAGGGAGCCGCTAGGCAAATGCGTGCCCGAAAATTTGACTTCTGCAAAAAGAAGAAAAAAACAACAGATTCTATTGGTGTTGCAAAACACATTTTCTTAAAGGAAGAATTTTGCAATTTTGCGATAAATTTGCTGTTGTCAATATTATCGCAGACAATAAAATAATAATGGACATAATAAAAATAAAAAGAATGACCATTTTCTTTCACAACATTATCAAAAGGAAAGACAAAAGTATGCGTGATAAGATAAGTACCTTTTTGCTTCTTATCTAAAGGTAACTTAATTGCTTTCTTTGTTTTGCCAGGCGCGAGTTCACTATGCGCATGCTAGACCATAAACTAATCATTTCATTGAGGCTGTCTTATGCCCTTGGATAGTGTAGGGGTCATGGAGATATCTAGGACATGTTCTATGCATGCAAAAGATTGCCCTTGCAAACATGGTATTAGAGACCAACTGGTTTAACGCCGCTCGCAACTGCATAAGGTCATATAAGCGCCGAGGGGTGGATGTCAACAGAGGAGTCCAAACGGGGAATCAGGCTTACTCTGCTCACCTCTCTAACATCAACAGCACAAAGTCTGTTTGATTATCAATGCACCCCAGAAATAGCAGTTCACAAGAGAGTGACAAACATACAAAAGAAGTAGAGGAAAAATGACGATAGTAAGGATGAGGAAAGAAAAAGCAGCATTTCTCACTATGTTTTTCCGGCACAGTATGAGCATGACATTGATAAATCAGCCCATTTACAATTCTACTGTGCATAAGAACATGTTAATATCTCCCCTTTGGGAATGGCCTGAAGACAACTTCAGTCAGTAGCACAGCTCTGGTAAGGGGCAACTGGAAAAAGAAACAAGGAAGACCCCACTGGAAGCTACAGAGGCACAATAAGGGATGAGGCAATCACCCAGGGCCTGAATGTGCGGAAATTGGACGACATGGCCAGGGACAGGCAAGCGTCGCGTCGACAGCTCTCCACCTTATGTACCTGAACATATAGGGACAGAGTAAGTTCGGCACTCATATGACCTTATTGCGTTGCAAGCGCAGTAAAAAACTTACTAAAAAAAAAAATATATTAAAAAAAGAGAGTAAGTAAGTAAGATAGTGTATGAGGCAGAAGCGTAGGACGACTCACGTAGAGAATGTGGTGGATCATGGCCACAATGGTGTGGGACTTGCCCGTGCCTGGAGGACCCTGTAGAAGGAACACCTTCAGGTCCTGGGGGCTGCCTAGGACGGAGCGCGTCACTTTCACAACGGCAGATCGTTGTTCTGGGTTCAAACCCTGGACAATCAATGACCAACATAAACAACTATTTCAGTACAAGTTTTAAAAAAAGTTTTAGTAAGTGTTTTACGACACTTGCAACACAACAAGGTCATACAAGTGCCGAAGATTAGAGGTGTTACAAGGGAGTAACAAACACAAAAAAGAAAGAGGGGAGGTAAAGATGACAGATGTTTGATAGGAAAGAAGGAGCAAACCACACCAGAGCACCCGCCAACCACCCACTATTTCAGCACAAGATAGCATGGAAACTAACAAACTAATAAAGGAGATGGTAAACAAAAGGCTGCTCTTTTTCTTCTCTAAGGCTGCTTCATCAATAACAACATTTTTTATCTTCTCTACAGCTGCTTCATCAATAACAACATTATTTATCTTCTTTATGGCTTTTTCATCAATAACAACAATTTTTTTAAATCTTCTCTATGACTGCTTCATCAATAACAACATTTTTTATCTTCTCTACGGCTGCTTCATCAATAACAGCAATTTTTAAAAATCTTCTCTATGACTGCTTCATCAATAACAACATTTTTTATCTTCTCTACGGCTGCTTCATCAATAACAACAATTTTTTAAAGTCTTTTTTATGGCTGCTTCATCAATAACAACATTTTTAAATCTTCATTATGGCTTTTTCATCAATAACAACAATTTTTTAAAATCTTCTTCATGGCTGCTGCATAATAACGTTTTTGTGATCTTCCCTACAGAAGCCTCGTTGATAACAGCAACAATTTTCTTGGATCTTCTCCTCAGCTGCTTCATTAATACCACACAAACACTGCACCTTAATTTTCTCTAATAACAACAACGACAACAATGACAACACACACATTGCATCTCCACAACTGCTTTATCGATTATAACAACTGATTTATTTTGATAGATAATAACAACAACGACCACAAAAACATCGCACCTCGATCTTCTCCACAACTGCTTTATCGATTATAACAACTGCTTTATTTTGATAGATAACAACAACGACAACAATTTCACCACAGAAATTTCACACCTCAATTTTGTCTACAACTGCTTTATCGATAATAACACCTGCTTTATTTATCGATAATAACAATGAACTGCTTTTATCGATAGTAAGAATAATGAAGACAATGACCACACAAACATTGCACCTTAAGTTTTTCCACAACTGCTGTATAATTTCCATAAAAACAACAACGCCAACAACGACCACAAAAACATGGCACCTCCATCTTCTCCACAACTGCTTTATCGATTAAAACAACTGCTTTATTTTGATAAAAACAACAACGACAACAACGACCACAAAAACATCGCACCTCTATCCTCTCCACAGCCGCGGCGGCCCACTCGGAGGGAAAGTAGACGCTGTTGAGCGCCGGCAGAAGCAGCTGGTCGCCGAGGGGGCTGGAGGGCATGGCCAGCAGAGCCTGGGCCTGGCGCCACACCGTGGTCAGTGAGGACACTCTCTGGAGGGTGGGAGTTTTCAGTAATCAGTTCTTGGTTCTGGGGGGGGGGGGGGGGGGGGGGGGGGGGGGGGGCCCCTTTTGGGGCGGGAAAAGTTATTTCCATAAAATTTTTTTTTTTTTGGGGGGGGGGGGGGGGGGGGGGGGGGAGGGGGTTTACAGATTACCTATGGAACTAAGACAAATAAAACCACTTGATGGCTTGAAAAGACATCTTAAGCATTTTCTGTTCCTACAGACCTATCCTTCATAACGTTATGCTTTTAACGTTATTTTTTAAATTATAGTTGTTCTGTGTCTATGTCTGGATGAAAATAGTCTGTGTTTGTGAGTGTGTGTGTGTGCATAAATATATATTGCATGAGAAGAAAGGAAGTAGTAAGAATGGTTTTGAAAACGGGTATTCCAATGTAAAGCGCATTGAGCTACTTTTTTTGGAAATGCGCTATATAAATGTTATATATATTTTATTTTTTTTTGGTTTCGGGGGTATTTTTTTGGTAAGCGTGTTACGGCGCTCGCAACTGCATAAGGTCATATGAGCACGCAGGACACATTTAACATTTTCAGTTGGTAGGAAATTTTGAATTTTGCTAGGGTGGCAGCCGAAGCCTACTCTTACCGATTTTAGACCAAGATCAGGGGTGTGGCTGAAAGACAGCAGTAAGAAGGAGCCAAGGAGTAGCAGTAAAAAGGCCGCAGAAAGAGTCAGGAGCCCAGAGAGGGGGCAAAGGAGGTGAAGGGGTGGGGGCAGAATGCGGAGACGAATGCAGACGACAGAACATTGCTAGAGGGCAGGGAAGGAAGTGAAAGGAGACAATTTTAGAGAAGAAAAATTTCCATCACTATTCGGTCCAGATTCGAACCCGGGACCTATTGAATGAGAGGTGAACACCTTAACCTCAAGACCAGGAGTTTTCCGCACTTGCTGCATAATTAAACAAGGCATCATGGGTGAAATCCGGTGCTCGTCAAAAGAAATAAAATGTGATGTATGCTGATCAAATGAGTTAATTCTCAAATTTTAGCCCTACGGACACAGATACGGACCTATAGATTGATTTTGTACAATTTATTATACGAAATGATAAAGACTAGACATGTTAAATTTTAAGAAAATGGCTTCGGTTCAGAATCTAAAAATTTGATGTGACTATTTTTGGCCAACAACTCCCTTCGCGGATGGCGACAAGTGACACATTTTGTCCGCACACTTCACAAATAGAAGAGACCAGCATTTTTCAACCCTTGCACTGTATGCTTCCTGAAAAGCCTAGAAAGTTTCCAAGCGTTCTAGTCTCTACTGGGGTCATCATGTTTTAAATAGCATAGAACATGCTGTAGAGCATGGACATGCACTATAGAAAAGAAAGTATCATTATTAGTTTGGGGTTTTTTTTATATCCTTGGGAAATGTTATTTTACAACAAAGATCAGGTAAGCATCTACTGAATACAGAGGCCCACCCTTTTCCTTAGCGGGCACCATGCTGGACTGCAATGCTAGAGCCAGACTCTCACTCATACATTCATCTTCACCCACATGCGTGCACATAAACACACACACACACACACAAGGTCACAAAAACAAACTCTCTTTCTCCTTCACACACAAACATCATATAAACATACATTAAGTCACTCAAACCTCTCGCTCCCTCTTCTCCCCCATCCTTCTTCTCTCTCTCTCTCTCTCTCTCTCTCTCTCTCTCTCTCTCTCTCTCTCTCTCTCTCTCTCTCTCTCCCTCCCTGTCCTTCTTTCTCCCTCTCTCTCACTGAGCTAAGAAAATTACTGGACTCACTTTGAGACGCCAGAGTTCTGAGCCCACCGGGACACTCCTGAATCGAACTATGAGCTTCAGCGTGTACACCAGACTCTCCCTACTCCTGGACTCTGGGAGTGACTCTGAAACCAAGAATAAAAATAAAGCACCCAGAAAACCAGAAAATGAAAATTCCCACATATCTCCTACATGTTTCCCCTGGCCTACCCCTGCCTCGTGCTCCCTGTGGGTTCCATTGCAGTGACTGTCTTGTGATGTTTCCGCTGGGCTTTCTGAAGGTGTGTCCCACCCAACGCCACTTTCTTAGTCCTATTTCTACTTCTATATCCTTCTGTCCTGTCCTTTCCCACAGCTCTTCATTTCTTTTTCTATCCTGCCACTTAATTCTTAGAATACTCCTCATACATCTGATGATGAAAGTCTGGACTTTATTCAGCACTGTCTTTGTTGTCTTCCAAGTTTTGCAGCCGTAGAGGAGCACAAACTTGACATTGGAATTAAAGAGTCGAATCTTGGTGCGCAGTGAGATGTTGCTTGCTTTCCAGACTTTTGATAATTGATTGAAAGCTGACCTTGCCTTGGTGGTTCTTGCTTTTACATCTGCCTCAGTTCCACCGTTATCATTTATTTACAATAATAGTAATAAAAATAAAAATAATAATAACGATAATTGTATTAATAATAATAATAATAATAATAATAATAATAATGATCATTGTAAATATGATAATAATAATAATAATAATTGTAATAACAATAATAATAATAATAATAATAATAACAATAATAACAATAATGATAATTGTAAAAATAATAATAATAATAATGATAATAATAATAATAATAATAATAATAATAATAATAATAATATTAATAATAATGATCACTTCTATAGCACCCACTCCCTGGAGGCTCAAGGTGCTTCACAATAAAATATGATTTTAATCAACGTTGCATGCATAATGGCCCATTCAACGAACAACAATCCTTTCAAATGCATATATGGAACCCATAATCCGACTAAAAACACATATATACACAAACAGACTATCACTGTAGTCACTGATCATACTTCTTGTTGGAAGCAGAATCAAACTAATGAAATGGGATTTAAATAAATGTATGTTTAAACTAGATAAAACTCGGCCAAAGTAGGCGCTTCTCTTAAAAGCAGTGGGAGAGAATTCCACACTTGGGGAGCTGTCGAAAAAGCAAATTCATCTAAATCAGCCAACGGTCAATTACCACAACACGCACAAAAGTACTGAAAATGTCACAGAGGATCTAGTCTACGGTAAAAAGAGCCCATTGTCATTTGAGTCAGGTTTATGGCACTGTCAACTTGTGAATCATTTAGGTGTCATGGGAGAGTGGTCACATCTCGCCGATTGGCAATGTTTACCGCCCAGTTTCTTTGGATTTTCCCCAAAATGCTTTTGCCTTTGAAGGCAAGGGTTTTTACTATATGAGCCTTGTGATGGCAAAATGTTAAGAACCCCCTCCCCTTTTCCTCTCTCTCCCTCACATACATATGATCACACAAACACCTCTCTCTCTCTCTCTCTCTGTCTTTCTTCCTCCTCCCTCCCTCCCTCCAACCTGTCTACCAAACATACTGCCTGGCAAGGCGGACCCATTCTGTAGGGGAAACATCTCCTCAGAAAGATGGAGATACTCCAAACAAAAATCATCCTCACATGGGAATTCAACAAACATCAACAGAAAATTGTTCATCATCATCGCCTTTCTCACCCTGCACCAGGGTATAGGCCACGGACAAACACCTTCCACCTTTCTCTATCCTGGGCTAGCCTCTTGATGTTTATTGAAAATTGTTAGTCAGCATTAATTCAGGATTTTAAAAAAAAAATTATAGTAGAGGGTTTTACGGCGCTCGCAACTGCATAAGGTCGTATGAGCTCAGGATTTAAAAGAAAAGAAAACAAAAAAAAAACAACAACAACAACACAGAAATGAATCATCAGAAAACAAGAAGCAAACCAACCTTACCCAACAGTTTGCACTTTTGTAAAGCTTCTCTGCGTTGACCGACAGGACGCGAGTCCACACTTTTCACAAAGGCAAACTGCGTGCACCACCCCAGTTGCCTCGCCCCTGATGACTTGGCAGTGCCCAACAGGTCAAGGATGACCAGGTCGGCCACGCGAGGGATGTGTGACCGGTCAGAACTCTTGACCACACCTGTGAGAAAAGTACATGCTGTCGTCATTCAGCTCTTTTTAGTTTTAATAGAGGTTTTACGGCGTTCGCAACTGCAGGAGGTCATAATTATGAGCACCAGCAGATTAGAGGTGTTACAAGAGAGTAACAAGCATAAAAAAGAAGAGGGGGAGATAAGGACGATAGCCTATGTTTGGTAGGAAAGAAGGAACAAACCACACAAGAGCACCCGCCAACAACCCACATTCAGCTCTTTGCACAAGGAAAACTAGTACATGCTAGTTCACAGCAAATATTATTTTCCAGTTTTTTATCTCATATTTTACTTATTTGCTTAAAATAAACACCAAAACTCAGTTGACACGAATGCTACGTTTGTTGGGCTGTGTTTTTTTTAGCCATATTATGTTCGAAAGTGTGGTGTAGATGAAAATATGTTGACTACTTAATGTTTTAGGTGTGTGCTGTAAATAGTTTGAGGTGACCTTCATGAATGGGCTTTTAGATTCTTTTGGTTATCCAACTTTTAAACCAGAATGCAAAGATCTGTGAAGATGGAAAAGAGTGATTTGATTTGATTTTTTTTTTAACTGCACGTCATCAGCTGACTGTTTCTGCTCTGCCTGTCTCGGCCAAAATTGTACAAAATCCCAAAAATGTAAAAAATCTAGGCTTCCGGGTGTATCCTGAGTGGCGTCATGTTTAGGCTACCGAAGTCATAATCATGAGGTTGCAGGTTCGGGGGTTCGAGCCGTGGGCCCGACGCTGTGTCCTTTGGAAAGGCACTTTACACTAATTTTCCTCACTTCACCAAGGTGGGAAGGGGTACCCGGCCATAGACAGCGAAAGATCTTGACAGTATGTTAGTGTTTTAGCATCTATTAATGGCCGCTTGCACTGTATGCTTCCCAGGAAGTCGAGGCTTTTTCAGAATGCTCTCAGGTCTGCTGGGGTAATAGTATAGATTCTGAAGCGCAGAGAGCTTGCTGTTGAGCGGGGATTTGCCTTCAAATGCTATCTATTATTGTTATTACTATCCGGAAAATCGGCACCTCTGATAAATACAATACAAACATAACCACCCGTGGACCCCCAGACAGTGCCTACGGGGGCTCTCGTGGCCTAGAGGTGAAGGTACTCGCCTCTCATTCAATGGTCCCGGATTCAAATCCGGATGGCGACTGATAATTTTCCTCTAAAATTTTCTCCTTTCACCTCCTTTCCGCGGCTCTCTAACAATGTTCTGTTGTCTGCTTTCGCCTCCACTTTCTGCCCCCCACCCCCTCACCACCTTTGCCCCCTCCTCTGGGCTCCTGACTCTTTCTGCAGCCTTTCTACAGCTACTCCTTGGCTCCTTACTGCTGTCTTTCAGCCACACCCTGATCTTATGGTACGTAAGATCAGCACCTAGCCTTCTCGGATAAGGGCGAAAAATCTTGGAGGTCCCCAGTGCAAGTTGCGCACATTATAGATCCCATGGTGGTCCAAAATCAATAAGAGTAGGCTTCGGCCGCCACCTGGGCAAAATTCAAAAATTCCTACCAACTGAAAATGTTTAATAAGCCCCACGCGCTCATATGACCTTATGCAGTTGCGAGCATCGTAAAACACTTTTTAAAAAACAAAAAACAACACCAACGAAAAAAGACCCAGTTTCGTACATTTCCCTCACAACTCACAGAGAGCACCAAACACCTCAAATCAAGACCGGTATTTTTAAAAATTGTAATCCATCCAATCATCTCTGAAAAACATTCTGCACTTACAAAAAAAAATGTAACCAAAAATAATTTTTTTAAAGGAACAAAACAAAAATGCAGTGCCTACAACAGCAGCAACCAACCTGACACCACCAGAGACAGTAAACCTTGTCTCTTGAACGCCTCACTGTTGGAGATCTCTGGCCCCATCTGCACTGACAACTCCGGAGGCCTCGACACTTTCACCCAGTCCTGGTACACCTGGAGGGACGAAAACATGGTTTTGATTCTCTTTGTTTTAGTAAGAAGAGTTTTACGGCAATCGCGACACAATAAAGTCATGTAAGTGCCGAAGATTAGAGGTGTTACAAGAGAGTAACAAACACAAAATAGAAGGAGGGGAGATAAGGATGATAGATGTTTGATAGGAAAGAAGGAGCAAACCACACTAGAGCACCCGCCAACCACCCACTTTTGATTCTCTGCATACCAGTGTTTTTGGTTGTTAAAGTAAGTTTTTACAGCGCTCACAACTGCATGAGGTCATATGAGAACAAAAGGGTGTTTGTTTGATTTTAGTAAGGTTTTACAGAACTCGCAACCGTATACAGTCATAGGAGTGCCAAGGGGTGGATGTCAACAGAGAAGTCCTAACGGGGAATCAGGCTTACTCTGCTCACCTCTCGCTAGCCTCAGCAACACAAAGTCTACTTCAACTATCAAGGCACCCCAGATATAGCAGTTCACAAGAGAGTGACAAACATACAAAAGAAGTAGGGGAAAAAATGACAATAATAAGGATGAGGAAAGAAAAAGCAGCAGTGCCCCCTGTGTTGTTTCAGCACAGTATGAGCATGACATTGATAAATCAGCCCATTTACAATTCTACTGTGCATAAGAACTTGTTAATATTCCCCCCTTTGGGAATGACCTAAAGACAACTTCAGTCAGTGGCATTTCCCTGGTGTGGGATGTTTCGGTTTACCTAGCTTGCTTTAGTTCCTGCACTAATATACGACCATTATTGGGTGCATCTGCTTCTTTTTACTCATACTGACAACTGAAGGGTTTTTTGGGGGGGTTTTATTGGTAAGTGTTTTACGGCGCTCGTAACTGCATAAGGTCATATGAGCGCGCGGACTGAAGATCTGAGTGAATTACAAAGTACTAAGAAGAAAAATAAAGGCCTGGAAAATATAATGCCAGTTCTTAGGCTGATATGTAACAAAGACTGGTACCGTAATTAACAACCATAACCTACTCAGGTCTGGACATAGTAAGAATATGAATCAATCATTCAAAACGGCAGTTTTGTCAAGACATCTGAAATACACGAAGTTAATGAAACGGGGGGGGGGGGGGGGCAAAAAATTTTTAAACAAAAACACAAAAAAAAAAAAAAAAAAAAAAAAAAAAAAAAAAAAAAAAAAAAGGGGGGGGGGGGGGGGAGACCAAAATTTCTAATGACATAACGCAAAAACAAATTTCAAATAATAAGCAAAAAATACAAAAACAAATTATATTGCAAAAAACAACATGTAATGGGCAAAACATAATAAAAAAGATATAGCACAAAAAGAAGTTTTAGGAAGGGGCAAAATATACAAAACAAGCGACCAAAAAAAAAAAATCTAGCTACCATGTCCCAAATCTCGTAAAGCTGAAGATTTGAGGTGACCTCTTGGTACTCCTTCATGCTTTCATAATACAGCCGAAGCTGGCACACTTTCTTATCCGAGGACCGCAGAAGTGATGGGTAGCTCTTGGTCACGCCGTCTCTTTGTATTTTATCTATTAAAAGAACAGAGAAAAAAACAAAACATTAGATTAACGTTACACATTATATTATATCATTAAAAAACAAGAAGAGTGAAAGAGAGTGATCATATTTATATCTGAAATTAGAAAAAAGCCTAAATTTTCAGTTGCAATTTTCTCAAAACTATGGTACATGTAGTGGTATTTGAAAGACAATATAATAATTATGAGGGGCCAAGATGCAAACCCGCTACATCCATTTTAGCACTTTAGAGAAAATAGGCTTTTTTTAATGCTGCTATACACACGAACATGCGTAAAAAGATTTTTTGGTGGCCTTAATGAAATATGTGTTGAGTTTTGGTCGAAAACACTTTGTGCATCTGATAGCCTGCACAATGTGCATTTATAAGCAAAAAATCTCCATTTTTTCCAAATGTCCCCTCACCCCCTCATATATATAGTCGAGATTGTCTAAAGTGGCTACCCATTGTTGAGGAGAAAAGAGGCCGTCTTAGACAGGTGGACATCTTACGTATGATACACATAGTGTATGACCGTAGTTTCATGGGTTGAAAAAAACTGCTCTGGGTTGGAAAATATTCCCCAAAAATTCAGAACTCACCATGTTCAGCAAGCCAGGCGGTATTCCAGAAGAGGAATGAAGAGAAAAACTTGGCCTCTGTCAGACACTCTGTTTGCGCCAGTCGAACAGGTGGCTGGGTCCTAGCCACCTGCCCAGCGGGGTTGACCACACGCCTCACTTCAATCGTCTGGTTTCTGGAGGTGTCAAAATTCACACGTCCCCGGTGGCCCCTGCTAAATCCCTCGCAGGTATTCACGTTCCGGTCTTTCAAAATGCCTTTCCTCTTTGGGGCGTCAGGAGAGATCACTATGACACTGTTGGGAGGGGCCGCAGCCGTTGTGGCTGCTGATGCTACTGGCTGAGCATTCTCTGGTTCCCTGAACGTGGTTTTCCGTGTTGGGGTTGGGAGGTCTTTCGTGGGCAGCCGCAGTGGCTTTGGAGAGGAGAATGGCACCAATGGTGAAACGGTTGGAACTGCTGTTTGCGTCCGTGGGGACGTCGAGGGTGTGGAGGAGGAGGAGGAGAGAGCCACCGCCGATGTTTGAACTGTGCTCCAGGTTGAAACAGACGCAGTAGCTGAACACTCCGAGGATGTCACCACGACTGGTGGTGATGATGAGGATGATGATGGCGATGATGATGGTCTTGATGATGATGATGATGATGATGATGATGATGATGATGATGATGATGTTGATGATGATGATGATTGTGGTGGTGGTGAAATAAATATTGTTCGAGCGCTACTTTTTACATGGGCATTGGAAGTGGAGCTCCTATTTTCTGAGGCAGCAGTTTCCTCAGGAGATGTCGAGGCCAGTGGAACTGGTGGCGTGGTCCTCTCACTGGACGGAGTTGGGAGCTCTGCGGCTCTGTGAGGGAGACACACTCCAGCTGTCTTTTGCCTCGCTGCGAGAGGATCTTTGCTGCTCTTAGAACTGGACTTGAGGGAAGAAACACCAGCCTCAGGTAAATCTGGGGATTTACGTTGTTGGTGCTTCTTTGCCGATTCAGACTGGGAGCTGCTTTTGCCCGAAGACTTTCTTTCCAACCTCTTCTTGTCTACCGGCAAGTCTTGTTCCAGAATGGGCAGGCCAAATGCCATCCTGTCTTGAGTAGAAGGCATTTCAACGTCACATAAGTCACTTTGTCCAGGCTCCTCTCGGGAGGCGTGTGTTCGCCAGTCTTTGGCTGAGTTGTCAGATGCTTTCTGTCTCTCTTGTAACAATCTCTTAGCTGCTGCTATACCTGAAGAAAGGTCAGGTGTAAGTCTTACTCCAGCTTTTGTTTTTGTACTTTTTGAAGACGATGCAGTCTTCTTAGTAAAGCTTCTCTGATCTTTCTGTTTGCCTTTCGAGGCTGTTTCTTGCCCCGAGCTTTTGCGGGTACTTGCTTCCTGTGGCTTCTTTTTTGACAGCCACGCACTCCCGCTTTCATGCACCTGTTCAACTTTCTGTTTTTTGGAGACACTCTGCAACTCTGTTTCACAGACCCGCTTTGTAGACCCACCCTCTTTCTCTGCACTTTTCTTCAGGCTTCTCACATCTAAATCTACATTCTTCTGAACATCAGGGCGATGCGTTACATCAGTTCTTCCTCCCTCAACCACCTTGAGGCAAGCCATATTCTTTCCTGCCGCACTCACCACATCTTTTCTGCAAATGTCTGATAAATGTTTAGAAGACTTACTTTTTTTCCGTAGACTCTTGTTTGATCTGGAGGTTTGAACTTCTACGCCTTTATCCTGTACATTTTCCTCACTCGTCTTTTCTTGCAGATCAACAGGCCTTCTTAAATAAGAAGCAGCATGCTCTGTGTGCTTTCCTGAAGCTCTATACTCCTTCAGATGCGTTTTACTGAACATTTCCCCAGTGCCCGCCAGAGCTTCCTGTGGAGAATCCTGCTTACCGAGCTCGGCTTGATAGTCATACTCTTGTGTGCCCTCGTCAGAAAGACTAACTCGATCTGAACAAAGAGGCGATGAAATTTTACCTTTGCCGGTTTCGTCTTGGACTGTCCCTTTTGCAGTCTTCTGGACATCCCTCGGAACTAATACAGATTTCACAGAAATTTTAGAATTCACATTCTCAACTGGAGCATTAGAGGCATCTGAAAGAATAATAACTCCCTCATCTTCTAGAGCACTCTCATGACCCTCGTCAGAGGATATGTCATCGTGCTGATCCTCCATGGACAAAGTCTGTTGGGTAAAGAAATCTGTCAGCAAATCCTCATCACTGGATTGATCAGCAGCTACTACCTGGCTTCGTAAAGACAAAATTTCTGCTGGGTTAGACGACAACGACACACTCTTGCTTTGTCTTCCATCCGAGTCACCGTCACACCGGGCGTCCTCGTCATTTTCTCCAGAACCCAACTGGTTCTTGCTCTCTTTCTGGTCGTGTTCAAGGGCGGTCGTGTCTTCTGGGTCTACTTGAGTGGCCATCATGTACTCATCAATGTCACTGGCACTGCCGTCAGCATCAGATATGTCAGCTCTGTCAGAACTGATCACATCGCCGAGCACGTTCTTTTCACTAGTCAGAACTTCTCTTCCTACACCAGTTTTGTTCTTGTCTTTCTTCTTACTGGAAAGAGTCCAGGAAAATTTAGGACGAACCATACCACTACTTTTGCCACTGGGCGAGAGCTGAACAGGAGGTTCATCTTGCTGAGTGCTGACTTCATACGCAGGATCAGAGACATTTTCAGCATGAGACCTAGTAGGGGAACCACACTTGGAGTTTGCTGTCTGGCCAGCACCTACTTCATCACCAACTTCAAGGCCATCAATTTGAGTAGAAAGGTCATAGGCCGAGTCATCTACGCCACTCTCAATATTGTTTATATCGTCATCATCAATGTCTGTATCTATCTCATATGCAGGGTCTAACTGAGCGCTAGCCCCAGGCACCACTTCACTTTCTTTCACCCGAGTGCTCATTTCACAATCAGCGTCATCACTTACCAAATCACACTGAGTCTGGCCACCAAAGGCATCATCGACCACATCGTACTGAGTCTGGGCAGTAAAGGCATCATCATCTACTACATCAACTTGAGTTGGGCCCAGATAAGCATCGTCCACCTTATCAACTTGCGTAGGGCCAAGATAGCCCTTGTCCATGTCCACCCCACCAACTCGAGTCCCACCATGACAGCCGCTGCTCATCTTATCTGTCCGAATCGGACCAAAATAGCCATAATTCACATTTCCAGATTCAGTTCTGCTATGGTAGGCGTCATCCATTGTATCAATTTGAGTAGAACCACCATAAGCATCATTACTTTTACTTTTATCGACCTGAGTTGGACCATGAAAGTCATCGTTCATGTTATCAACCTGTGTAGCACCATGAAAGTCATCGATTATTTTATCAACCTGAGTAGGACCATGATAGGCTGCTGCCACATTTTCATCAGGGGCCTGGGGTGACTTTTCTCCTTCGTCATCCACCGACATTGTTAGTATGTCATCATCCGACGAATAATCACAATAATCCAACTGGGAGTGACAAAGAAACTCGCTCTCATCCATCTCCTTGTCCGCCTGAGTAAAAGCACCAAAAGCACCGTAAAAATCATCTGTCACTAAAGTCTGAGCATTGTATTGGGCGGTGGGACCCAGGTCTTCACCGTTACACTCCGCTGGAACCTCAGCCTCTGCTGCAGTTTCCGTTCCGTACTGGGACACCCTGGTGGGCAAACTGGAACCCTCATCCTTGCCACCTGGATAGAGAATTTTATCAAAAACCCCGCTGGACAACGGCCTATCGAGAGGAAGAGAGACCAGCTCGTATTCTTTTGGCTCCCCAGTAGACTGCAACAGCCGGTCACCATCATCTGAGTCCACTGAGACACCATCCCTGTCAGCAGGGTTACCCTCAGCTGAGCCTTTTCCTTTCTCTTGCTCAACTTCTCCGGACAGCTCACAGAGGTAATCGTTGTCCCCGTCCTCCCACCAGGGAGAGTCCCCCTTGTCCTCCTCCTCTTGTCCCTCCTCCGCATCCTCGTGAGTGGAATCCACCATCGACTGGCTGTAGAAAAATTCTTCGTCATCCGAATCGAAAATGTACACCATATCGTCCACCACGGAATAACTGACCTCTGTGTCAATATTTAACTCTTGTTCCGTTTCTGCTTTCACAACTGCCGGAGCATTCTGGTGGTTTTTGCTCAGATGAACTTCAACGGAGAAATTCAAGTCTGGCAATGAGTCTGTGTCGCTTTCAACATCCCTGGCACTGTCAAAATTGACCCTGCTGTCACTTTCTTCCAGGTCACTGACTTGTAACTTTTGCGGTATTATAGGGGAAACTGTGGAAGAAGTTTCATTAGGGTCTTTCGATGGCCTGGCCGTGATACCCCTTTTGAAAGGGTCACAGGGAGTGGATGTTCTTTGAGGACTGTCAGGGACAAACGACTCTCCTAAGTGCTTTTCTTCACTGCACAGCTTCGCACCATCTCCCGACTCCGAGTCTCCTAGCATAACAATTGCATTGTCAACATTATCTCTGACTTCTCCCTCAGACCCAGTGTCTTGGGTGAACATTGGTGAACAATATGATCCTTGATCCGAGTTCCCTTTCTTCAAAGAAAGTTTCCCCGTTTCTTTACGTGATAATGCATTTGACGTTGCCTCTGATTTGTCATTAGTGAGAGAAACATGTGCACTTGACGACAGACACTGTGACAACTGTGGAGGAGACAAAGAGCCTTTCCGCAGACATAAAACCTGTGATCCTTTTCCTGAACCATATTGAGACAAGACAGGTGGGGACATGGACCGCTCGTTATTCAAAGAACCATCAGCTAGGCTTTTATGACCTCCAGGACTTGTTACCTTGTCTTCAAATGACGTAATTTTTTCAAGAGATGGCATGGAGCGAAAGGAACTTGAACTTCTTGAACTGCCCTCGCCTGATTCTATCATGCAGTAGCCCTTTACAGGAATGCCCTGAAAAGACACTTCTTGAGAGAGGCTTGGTATCTCACTTTCTTTATTAATCAGTTTTGCCAAGCCTAGAGGGTTGTAATCAAATGTCGAGCACGACTCACTTGATTGCACACTACTTTTTACAACTGATTCATTCCCAGACAATCCTACAACAGCGTTATTCGCCTTCGGCAAAAAGTCTGCAGTCTCACCATACAAGATGGTAGAATCTGACGACAACAGAGGGATGGATTTTTCCTCATCTGACACAGGAATACAATCTGACAAATTTCCATCAAGTGGGTACTCTAGCGTACTCTCACTAACAATATCATTACTACAATTATTATTGTCATTTGTCTCCATCTCTTCCACAACAAGCGCCTCATCTTCCGTTCCCGAGAGTTTATCGTGGTCATCGTTGAGAGCCAGAGTTCTGTTTGAAGCAAGGTACTCAACATCAATAACTTCAACATGTTCCTTTTCAGTTCTTCTACTTTTTGCCCTCTTTATCAACTCTGAAACATCACCTTTCCGCTTTTTCATAGAATCAAGGATGTCCATAGCAGAACTGCTTTTTCTAGCAGGTTTATGCGATTGAGTATCCTTAGCCTGTGTCCAGGATTGACAGGAAAAAATACTTTGAGAATTCTCGCAGTCAGAATCACTGTCATCAAAAACACTTTCTGTGAGCAAACCCTTGTTCCCTTTCTCATTGTTTGACTTCTTCCAAGAACTTCCTGAAGGATGCTGAGACAGGATACTCTCTGAATCACCACTGTCGCTCTCACCTTTAGGTGTGTCATTTTCAGTTTTCCCACAAGGATCTCTCAAACTCAAAACATCTTCATATTTCCTGGGAAGACCATCTCCTGTAATTATTTCTTTTGTGGGGTTTTCAAGATTGTCATCACTTGAAATTTCACTAGTTTCAGAGATGACAAGATTGTCATTTTCAGATACAACCAATAACTCACTGTCTGACGATTCTTCTACAGAAATGACTTGAGTCTCAAAGTCATCATAAACTTCCATGTTTTTCTCCAATTAAGACTACTTCTAACATTAATTCTATAGCTGTGCTTTTTCCTGTTGGTCTATATATGTAACTTTCCGTTTTCAAGTCAGAACTGGCGAATGCTTGCTTTCCAATCCATAGTCATGAAATGACCTATAGAGAAAAGAAAAAGATGTCTTATTAGATAAAAGCCTTCAACAGATCTCATACAAAAATGGGTAGTTCAGGTAGCAGGCTCAGAATAGGCACACACTTAATATTTAACACTAAATAAGCATTGGATAAGAACAATAATGACTTTAAATTTCTCAAACATGGACAGCCACACAGTCTTACATGCCCAGAAGGGCCCTCTCATTGCTGCTGTTACTTTTACTTAAAATTCAATCATACAGGGGAGTTCAAGGTCCAAATCTAAGCGGCAGTCTATAAACTACCAGTGCTGTCTAAAGAATATTTTATAATTTCCTGTTCCCCAGACCCTCTATTTCTCCCCCTCCTTGAGATCTTTCTCTCACACCCACAGGCGTATGTGCTGCACATCGATGTTGTTGTCGATCAAGATATCGCACACTGACACATGCATATAAACACTCTATCTTAAAGTTAAAAATTACGTACGTTCTATTCCAAACGCGCTTATGTTCACACACACACATTATATCTGGTCAGCTAAAATTGGGAACTTTTCGCTAAACCTAAAACCAAGATATTAGCAAAATTTGTAGGTGAAGTCAATTCAGATTGATTTTGAGGGAATTCCCTACTATTTTAGAATACAATTCAAGAGCTTTTTCTCGTAAAAAAACACTTTAAAATAGTTTTCTCAATTTACCTTCCATTTGCATTCAGATATTAAAAAGAAGTAAATGGTGTAACTTTGAACACATTTTTCTCAGTTCTTACTCTTCTTCGTAATGCAATAAATATTACAGTTGCTAGAAAAGATATACATTGAAACATTTAAAGTGCATAATAAAACAAGAAGATCCCAGGTTTCAGAAAGTACAAAACTCGCCCGGCTCTAATAATAATTTATTGTAATATGCAGACATGCAGAGGTGGCTAGTGTCTTAGCCTTCGTAAGGTTTTACGGCGCTCGCAACTGCATTAGGTCAAATGAAGGCCAAGGGTGGATGTCAACAGAAAAGTCCAAATGGGGAATCAGGCTTACTCTGCTCACTTCTCTAGCATTAACAGCACAAAGTCTGCTTCGAATATCAAGGCACCCCGGAAATAGCAGTTCACCAGTTCTCCCTATGTTGTTCCGGCACAGTATGAGCATGACATTGATAAATCGGCCCGGCCCATTTACAATTCTACTGTGCACATGAACATGTTAATATCGCCCCTTTGACAATAATAATAATGACATGAACATGTTAATATCGCCCCTTTGACAATAATAATAATGGCCTATTCAAGGCGTTTGTGTCCATTGTTATTATTGAGGCTATTATTGAAAAAAAATTATTATTTTAGAAATAAGTGAGAACCAAACCACTGAACATGAATTATTTGAGTATAAAATTATTTCTGTAAACTATGTATGGGCTTTCAGCTGTCTGGCATCTGTTTTTTTGTATTTTTGTTTCAGGTAATATAACCGTCACACCTGTCAAATACCGAATCGAAAGAGAGCCAGAAAAAAAAAATTCTATCTTAGACAGGGGAACTTACGGGAAGATGGAAGAAGGTTCAAAAGGCCCAGCCGGAGAGATCAAGGGTCGTTCATCCAGTCGACAAGAAGTTGTCAAAACTTCACACCTCTCGTGATATCCTAGCCTCTCTGGTAATATCATACAAATTACTCTTACTTATCCATTGCCACAAGGTGCTTGCATCTCATAGGACTTAGGACCATGACTTTCTAAAAAAACAAATGATTCAAACATCTCTTTTTTTTTTATTTCCACCATTAGCCCTTTTTGCCATCAGTGTAATAATAAAACACAATCAACCAATGCCATTTCCCTCCTCTCGAGCAGGTAACAACAATTTGAAGAACTTTTTTATCAGCTGGCTGAACAATCAAACAACAGATACTGGCCAAATTAATTTCACATTTCTAGTCAAATGACCCAGGAAAGTTTTCAGGCTGGAGCGCCACTCAAGCACTTTCGCAGGCACTGATAGGATTTCACACTCACACCACCCTGACCATCTCCATAGCTCAGGGCTCACATGGATGGAGTAACATCTACCCCTAAGATGCACGCCTAACACCCACTGTAATTGATAGTGATTATTACTCACCCCGTGTCTTAATCGTGTTTCAAAGGCGGACATTAATGTGTGGTGTTGAGGAAAATATGTCAACTTTTATGTTTTAGGGGTAAATTTTACTTTCACTCCCTCACACAGATGCACTACTTTGGGGTCAAACTGCAATTTTTTTTAATGCAGATCATACAGCCACTAAAACTGTCACAAATCAATAATTTTCAAGAAAATTTCAAACCTAACTTACAAAACATCAAATTGTGGGATAAAACGGGGGGCGTCCCCCTAACCCCCTTGATTTTTTTTGGTTTTACTTCGGAGGGGGGGGGGGGGGGGGGGGGGGCATGCCCCCTGCCTAAAACCCCCAGATTAGTCCAAAGCGCAGAAATTACTACACAGTTCGGCTTAGTGTGATAGGCCTAGATGGAGTTCTTCTTTGATTAAAAACCGTTTTAAATATTTTTAAAACTATTAATTTGCAATGGAAATGAAGTAAATATTCATGTTCAGAGCATCATTATAGTGGAAAATTGACACTTAGAACAAGTAACTAAGTGTGAGACGGGAGGGAAAGTAAAAGAACACTGTTTTATTTTTTACGTATGCTGTAAACTGTAAATCCCCCCAAAAAACTTGTTACAAGAAATTACTGTTATAGTGAACACATTTTTGCACATAATGGCTCTCAAAAGTTTGGATTCCGAAAGGGAAGAGGATGCACGGATGCCGTATTCGCATACGACAGATAGGCGAGAAAACAATCGAACACAACAAAGAATCCACCATCGTCTTTATAGACCAGGAAAAGGCTTTTGACAGAGTAATCCATGCAAAACTCTGGAAGACACTCGAGAAGTATGGCGTCAGAGGACAAATGTTAGATAATGTCAGAGCTCTATATACAAACAGCAGAAGCTCTGTAATCTGAAGGAAGGAAATACAGACTGGTTCAGAGTAATATCTGGAGTACGACAGGGATGAGTTCTATCTCCCCTCCTGTTTATAAAAAATATGGACACAATAACGCAAGAAG